ACGGATTGTGATGATGGACCTTGAGGATGCTTCAATGGTTGGTGTCGAAGAGAAAGAAGCACTTTCGGATTCTGTTACTGCATCACAGTTTCAAGACATCAAAGGGACTCAGCAACAAGAGTTGATTTCCGACGGTTTGGTACAAAAAGCAATCTTGGATGAAGAATCAATTCCACAATTTCAGGTACCAATTGCTAATTCTGAGATTTTGAGGAGTTGTGAACTTAGGGAAGTAAAATTGGAGTTGGAAAAGCTAGAATATGTAGTGATGGACAAGAATTTGGAGAATGAATGGGTTCAAAAGGGAACTACTAAGAGATTTGAGGTTGAAGGTGATGTGGAAAGAAGTCAGAAAGTGCTAAGTATAGCAAAAAATTGCTATGCACACCAGGTGTTTGGTAAAATGTCTCAACATAAAGAAAGGCTGGGAACAAAGAAGAAAACGAAATGGTCTAAAACCTGGTGGTTCAAGTTCAAAGAACTTGTTGTTAGGCAAGAAGATATCCAGAATGTCCTATTAGCTTTTCTACATACGAGTATTATTGAAACAGGATACATAACCACATTTCAGCATGTGAGAATGAGATTGATCAGACAAACACACATGTCAAGGAGGGGGTGTGAAGTGTGGCTAATACAAACTCTAAACGACCTACAACAATTTACACTTGGTGAAGTGATGTTCCAAATAAAGCACAAGTGGAGAGTTAAGCTTTTGCATCTAGTTTCTGAGTTTGAGTTCAGTTTTGAGAGTGTTGCATTATCAGATGAACAATTTTCTGTAGAGAAGACAGTGGTTCACGCGGCGGGCACATGTGGAGAGGACCTGCAGCAATTGGCCAGAGTTTTGGACAATTGTGCGACACAAAAGCTGTTTACCTCTAGGAATATATATCACTGTGGTCAGGGAAAAATCATTTACAAACATTTTGATACAAGTTTGGTGATACAAGTCCACGAAAATCATGTTATACCAAGACAGAAAAATAAGTTCCTAACTTCTTGGAAGTTTAGGTGCAACGGCAGGGATGTATTGGAAGAGTGGGAGATAATACAAGGAGATTATGGCCACTATTTTCTACTCATTGCTGCAGCAAATGGGAGTATGCAGATTCACTTTAGGAAAGCAAGTAACCATGTGTGGCATCGTTGGAAGGCTCGGTGTTCGCAGAATATTGACCTTGACTTAGAAGTGGCTGCCTACTATGAACAGCTACAACTTTTCGATGGTGTTGTTGTGAATGTGTTGCTTCACCATTCAACGGATCTCTTTATTAGATTGCAGAGTACGAAGGAACAACGGAAATGTCCTAAGTCTTGGGTGTTCAAATTCAGAACAAACAAGAAGATTGCCCAACGGCTTGGTCTGATTGTTACTTACTTGGAAAACAAAAAGAATTGGAGAAAGTTGAGGGTTAAGAATCGTGACAATCTCTCTTGGAAAGAAGCTTCAGGTGATGAAAATACCAAAGAAGCTAGTGGGAAGTTTCAACAATTCCGTGGACTATGCAGAGAACTAATGGATCTTGATGTTTCTTTTGATATGGATTATGATACACAACCACCAAGCTTATGCAGAGGTCCAAAGCTTGTTGCAAGAAATGCAGCAAATTCTTTATACACTAGACTGGTTTTAAACTGCAGCAACTAACCACTTTAGACATCAATGGGATTTTGTGCTATGACCTGAGGGGAGGAAACTCTTGGTAACCAGATTGGAAGCCATTTCTTCTCCTTCCTTGAAACAGCGTATGCTTTGTCTTTGTACCAGTCAAGCTTCGATACCAATTATGGTGATTGTTGTGGTTCTGATTACGTGGTCAAATATGGAGAAGCTGTATGAATTGTTGCAGCAAGATCTTTCTTATCAACCATGAGGGCATGGTTGTTTGGGGGAGGAAGGATTTGATATAGTATAAAGAAGAGTATGATAAAGGGACACGTGGACGGTGAGAGATGAAGCTACAATCAACGGCCACGATTAGAAGCAACCGAAGATTCAACACTTAAATTCAGAAAACATTTCATTTTCTCATAATCGTGAAAATTGTGAAGTTTGTTGTTCTTTCTCTTTGTGTTTTCTGGGTTTGACATTTGATTCATCCTCTGTGAAGAACTTAGGGTTCTTACAAGATGAATCTGGAGATTCCTTGTTTTAGGAACATTGGATCTTCTCCGTTTGAATATTGAATTGAAATTGGAATTGTGTTTGTTGGATTTGGTGAGAATTGGAGTTTAACTGTATCAGAACCCTAATTCCTTATATTTTTGCAACTTACCAGTACAATATAATATGCAGTTACAGACTCCCAAATTTATCGATAATCAGTATCCGTCTATATTCTCAAATACTAATCAACTGATGATTAAACAAGTTTTTGGTTAAAGAGAGCCAATAAAACATAATTCGTCGATAATCTTTTCGCCAATTCTGATTATTATACTGATTGAGTCGTCAATAAGTTATCAGTAGTTTACAGACCAATGACATTCAAAAATTTAACCAGCACTCGAGAGTGAAGATCAACTGAGCGATGGAGAGCTTTATTGCAGTTGCATGATTGCACCGTTGTAGTATTTAAAGACCGAACCCAAAAACTAGTATAACACGTTAAACTATGATAAGATCGATTAAGCTAGAGAATCAAGAGATTTTGGGTTATTTTTGGTTAATGACTAGAATCTAAGCAATCTAAATGCAAATAAGACAAGGCAATATATTGAAGCATGATCGATTAGCTAGACATCAATTAGGATTGTCATAAATGATTCTAAATGTTCTATATGGTCACTAAAGCACCCTCATGACAATGGGACTCTTAAAAATTAGACTAGTTCTCCTTTCGGGATGCGATTAGTCCCTAAATACACTAAATTCAAGCTCAATTTTGGTATTTCATCCCAATGAATTAAGAAACAATATGTTTTATATTAATAAAGCCACTTAACACCCTAGATACAACATTCATCACACAAAATTCAATTGGCTAGGCGGGAATTTTTCCAAAATTACGATTCAAGCATTTTATCGAAGACCTTGTGGGCGCGGAAATGCCTTGCCTCTAGACTTGAATGATGTGTTCTTTATCTAGTATTATGTTTTTCTCTAAGTGATAAGACTATCTAGATTTAGTCTTAACAATGAATCAAGCATTGACATCCTATTCTAACATAATCATGTATGAATGAGACTACTCACTCACTCATGGTTGTGCAACAACACAAAACTAAAGACTTGCATAAAAGTAAATGCAAGAAATGAAAGAGGTTTGCATAAACATAAAAGATCTTAGCTCATTAGAGTTTAGAAGTATTACTACAAGACAAAAGGACAAAATTAGATTAAAAAGATTCTGAGTTTTATGTCTCATAAATTAGTATCTATAGGAAAAACAAGCGCACTCGGATTGACCCTGTCAAGTTAATTAAATCTGTAATTAAGAAACATATGTGCGATCGATCACCCAATCAATTCGGGAAATGGATGGTCAATTTGCCTCTATGAATTCCATGAATTTTGTACACTTCTTCCGGTTTTATCTTGCATCAAACATCCAAGGTTTTCAGGGGATTTGTATGTCTGATATAGGGATGTCAATTGGGCTGTCAAGGTCCAAATAGGACCATGACCATATAGGATCATGATGGTGTAAGCCCAAATAGGACCGTGTCTAAATAAGACCAAACCCAAATAGGACCATAACCAACTGGGCAGCCCATAAGGTCCAAATAATATGATTTCCTATTTTCCGTCAAAACCGTAAAAATAGTTTTTGCCAAAATCGAAGAATTGCAATTTTTCGCCAAATCGTAAAATCACATTTTCCCGCTAAAACTGTAAAAATATTTTTTACAGTGAAAATGTATGTGTAAATCCTAATTTTTTTAAAAAAGGAGGAAAAAAAAACTAACCCTAATTTTTAAGGCTTATTCGACGGTCCACGTCTAAATGACTTCGCCCCATTTATTTGTGGGCTAAATGGATTTGTACCCCATATTGACCGCTTTAGTTTTGGACGTAACCAAAACCGGACCATTACAATTTGGACTAGTCTAGCCCATGGTCATCGTGCCCAATTGACATCCCTAATCAGATTTCCTTTGGTTTTGGTCTCCTCCTTGTTCGAATTTCTTATCTTCTCCTTACCTCTATCATTAGTGAACGCTCCAAATAGCTGCACATATTTAATAAAACACAAAGAAATTCAAAAAGAAAAAAACACAAAAATATGGTAAAAACCAAGGGGTTAAACTATTAAAACCCGAACAAATCAACCATGTACTGCTTCTTCGCTACAACTAACCCTCCCTCGCGAATAGCATGTTTTCTTGTAAGTTTACTTTGACATCAAATTTACTATATTATGTTATTGAAAAACTCCAACAAACAAAATTTAATTATAATCGGGTCAAGAAAATAACACAATGTGGATCGCCTTAGATCCGCGTGTTTCTTAAACATATATGACAATTTTACGGAAAAAAAAAAAAAAAAACCTTTTCGTAAGATTATATTTTGTCTTTAGAATTCTTATATTAACGGCAATGTCATGTAATTGTTTCAAAATTTTAAGGTGAAGTTACTTCTCAATTAATTGTATAAGATTCTACATCACAGCTACTAACTGCAACCAAAAGCAAAGTTTGTAAATAATTCAACGTTAACGTGACCTAATCCTACAAAAAAGTATAATGTTCCCTTCACAATCACTGGTCAAAAGATATTAATTCTTTAAGAGAACCTCTATATGTGTTGTATAATGAACTAGTTTGGTTGTTATAACTTAAAGGGACATGGTTGTTGACTTAAACTTAGGTAGATAAAAGTATTATATGGAAATGGAGCAAGTCGCCTTCTATATTTTAGTAAACAACGATCTTAAATAAAATCCGCATGAAACCTAAGAGAAAGAATATATATACAAACCCAAACCCACTTCAACAACTCAATTACAAATCATGCATATATATCTTACATGCAAGACTTCATCATTATCATCATCATCATCATCATCTCTAGCTCCTTCTTTGAATCTTTTCTAAATTAAACTTCCAAAAGATAACCCTAATTTCTAGTCATCTTCTTCTAAATTATCTTCCATGGATATCGAAAAGGCAGCGAGTAGAAGAGAAGAAGAAGAACCCATTGTTCAAAGGCCAAAGCTAGACAAAGGCAAAGGCAAAGCTCACGTGTTTGCTCCTCCTATGAACTACAATCGGATCATGGACAAACACAAGCAAGAAAAGGTTAGCGCTGCCGGGTGGAAAAGAGGTGTAGCAATCTTCGATTTTGTACTTAGACTCATCGCAGCCATCACGGCTATGGCTGCTGCAGCAAAGATGGCGACAACGGAAGAGACTCTTCCTTTCTTCACTCAGTTCTTGCAGTTCCAAGCTGAATACACTGATCTACCAACTATGTCGTAAGTTGCTCTCCAAATGTTACTCTTGCTATAGATTACGCCAAAAATGTAGTAACCAACTATCAAAATGAAACCCGAAATCGGTATACCATAGATTATGCCAAGAATACCCAAAGCCAGGCTTTTGAAGAGTCGGGCTAGTTTATTCTCTTCTGATCCCTGATCCAAGGAGGTCTATGGACTTGGGCACATGACTTTCGAGCAATGTGTTTGGTGCTTATTAGTGATTATGGTGCATGATTTTCGATTATATAAAGATTCAAACTTATATCATTTTCTTTGTTTTGTTTTGCAGATCTTTTGTGATCGTGAACTCAATCGTGGGCGGCTACCTAACCCTTTCATTACCTTTTTCCATTGTCTGTATCCTCCGCCCTCTAGCGGTGCCTCCTAGGCTATTCCTGATCATATGTGACACGGTAACATTTTCAAAACATTTAACCTAAAAAGTTATAATAAAATATAAATGCAAATGCCAAACACACAAAAGGAGTTTCTCATTTCGTTTGCGTTTTAACAATGAAAGTTTACGTAGCTTTTAAAAAGTACAAGTAAAACCAACCACAAAAGCAAACGCTAAAATAAGTCACGGCTTTCATTATTTAAGCTCGAGTAGTCCCTATTTTGTATGGGTATCAATATAAGTAACGTCCTTATATCTTGGTCACAAATTAAAATGAATATGTATGTTAAGTATACATATGACATGTCCCTATAAATAAGTCGTATGGTTGTTGTGGTCCAGGCGATGATGGGCCTCACCATGATGGCGGCATCCGCTTCTGCAGCCATAGTTTATTTGGCGCACAACGGGAATTCAAGCTCGAACTGGCTTCCGGTTTGCCAGCAGTTTGGTGACTTTTGCCAAGGAACGAGCGGCGCCGTGGTGGCATCCTTTATTGCGGCGACTCTTCTCATGTTCCTAGTCATCCTATCTGCATTTGCACTCAAGAGATCGACCTGAAAATTTGGATTGATCCTCTTGATTAAATTTCTATGTGCTCTGATATTCATTTGTGTGAGTTTTGAAAGGTTCCTATGTATAATTTGGTTTTGTTGTGTTGCACGGGTTTTATTGTGGAAAAATGTCGTAAATCAATCTTCTATATTCAACATATCGTTTTCTTTTTCCAATATAATTTTCGTTTCAAAGATAACAAATTTTAAACCTCCAGGCCATAGGAATGACTCTTTTGAGCGGAATGACTCTTTTGAGGGGGTCCAAATGTTTTTGTAAGATTTTGTTTGCATGCTTAATTATTATTTGGTATTTGGTGGATGGTTTTATTTAAAATGATAAAATTCAATACATTGTCCTTCCACCTCTTCTATTAGTTTGCATTTGATATTTTCTCCTATTAATTGTTTAATATGTCTTTTAGACTATACCTAACTCTTGAAGTGTTCTAATCCAACTTCTCTAAAGATATCACATGATTTAGCAGCTACCACTTAACCACTTTCTCCCAAACAATATAATACAATACAATGCATGATCTAACACAAAAAATTTAAAACATATATGTTAAAGCTCATTATCTTTCTTGTCTCTTAACGTTTTAGACAATTGCTTGTATCAGCTATTCATCAAAAATATTGCGTTTCTAATGACTTCTTGTCCTTAATCTCAGAGCTGAGGCATGACCAATCGAAAGGAGGAATTGCATATGGTCCTTTGAGTATGCCCTCGGATATCCATTTGTATGCAGCCTCAGTCATATGAATGCCATCCCAATTCACATACTTGGAAGGATCACTACAATATTCAACTCCTTTACTCCCACATTTTATACTAAATGTGAAGTTGTATGGTCCTCCTACCCCGCAACAAGCGGGCAAAGGTCTGTCCATAAGCCCTGATATTATAACTAGCTCGGTTATTAAATCAATGACTAAACCGCGTATATTTAGTGAGGGATAAAAAAGGCTAACCGAATTTGGATGGTTCTTGCACAAGGCGCAACAGAGTGTTGTAGTAGTCACCATATATGATGTTGACATGAGGGTAAAGCTTCCTAAGTCTGTTGAGTTCTGCTTGAAGCTGCTCGTTGTGGTATACTGAAAAGTCGTTCAACCATGTCAAACATCCTGTTAGCGGATTGTATTCTTCCTTGTTCGATGTTTCGTATAACGTCAAATAGGCTACAGAGCATCCGAGCGGAAAATTTCCAGGAACTAGGAATGTTCTTGCTCCCATATCAACCAACTCCTGAATTCAAGATTCAGTCCAAAAGCAACAAACATATTAAAGTTTCCGAGAAACTACTCAACCGATACAAATCGATTAAAATGTTTACCGAGATCGCCGAAGAAATAGTAGTGATCACAAGTGGAACCAGCTCTTTGACTTCTTCAATGTTTTTGCGATCGAATAATGGGTAGTTATAATCATTCCCTCCAATCTCTCCAATGAGAATAAAAGCATTCCCAATCATATCTCTACACTCTAGAAAAAACAGAACCATTACAAGTCAACTCAATTCATTGCAAACACAAAATAATGTTTTCAATGGAAACAAAAAAAAAAGCTTGATCTTCACTACCTGATGAAGAGCCACATATATATGGTAAACTCTCTTTGAAGCTCTTAAGCTGGTCTCTTAAACTGATGTTGCTTTGAGAACAATGAGTTCCTCTCTCCCCAAGAACAGAACATTCTAGTGCTGTTGCTCCTCCCACCGCAAAATTAATTCCTTTTTCAAAGTTTCCATTTTTAGATCCATAAAATGGAGGCACATGTGGAATCCCTAAGAATTCAGCTGTGAACAGAAGAAACCAAGAATAAAATGCTTTTGTATGTCTTCAGTTTCCAGATATTTTCAGATTTTTATTCATATTAAACCAAAAAATATATATTTTACCAAAGATATTTTAAAGAGACTCTCAATGATAAAAGATTAATCAGAACATAGTCGATTCAAAACGTTAAAACGTTTAAAATACCAATGAAATCGATGATGAGGCGACCGTCGGAGAAACGGCCCGAGGGATAGTGGAAGAAGGTTTCTCCGTATGGTGGAAACGCGGACTCAGGAAGATCGTTAGGACTAGAGAGGCCGAGTGAGTTTCCGGTGTCCGTAATCGAATCGCCGAAACTGATGATCGACTTGAAATTTTGGCATCGCGTTTGCGAGGTCACTATAGTGACTAAAAGAGTATATATAAAGAAGCTCAATAACATATGAGAATCTTGAGACGCCATGCGAGAGCTTTATGCTGTCTTATATCTTCTTTCTTTTCTTTTTGTTATGATATTATTTTCAAAATGTTTTGTTTTGGAACCCAAAGTTATATAGAGCCACATGTTTTGCACTTCGTCGAAGACAAAGAAAACAAACAAGTCGTATGACAATTGGCAGAGATGGGCCATTGAGTCTTATGATTTAATGAGCCTTAAGTAAAGGTGGGGCATAGGAAATTTACTTTGTCTGGGACAATAAAACTTTGTTTTTGTATATTTGCTGATTATTTGTACATTTTCTTAACTGATTCATTGTATTTCTAATATGAACTTTCATTATTAATGAGAATCTTATTTACTATGCCAATAACTTAACTGGTAAAGTATTTCCGGCAAAACTTAGAGATCACTGGTTCAAATGACACTAACTACATAAAATGTTCTGGTTTCCGGTTAGAAATGATGTACGAGCTTAGGTCCAAAACATTTTAAATATTCAAAAAAAAAATTTGCTTATCTTAGATTTTCAAAATTTATATAGTTCGTTAAAATCTCTAGATTCTCATTAGAAACAAACCTAGATGAAAAAGCTAATTGATAATATTTGAAATCAACATCCTAAATTTGTCAATTTCTTGAATTTCTTAGAAAACCCTTAACTCACTTATGAAATTACTCACCAAGCAGAAAGAATATGTAAATTAGGACATCATTGTATTGAAAGGAAATACATTCTGTTGAAGTAAGCTTGAGTTAGAAGCTTATGGTTAAGAAGTTAACTAGAGTTAGAAGTTAACTTGAGATAAAAGATTAAGGGTTTTTAGGAGTTATCTAAAACCTAAGTAATATCTTGTTAAAGTCGGTTTATGAGCAAGTCGGTTTGTAAACTAGGTTTTATGTTTGTGTATAAATATGAGATGCCAAGGTGTGGTATTCCATGTGTGTGTTTAGAGATTGAGAGATTGTGTGAGGCCTTTGTTTTGAGTAAGTTTCAAAGGTAATAAGAAAGTTGTTCTTATAAACACAAGTCTTGATCAAAAGGGTTTTACTTAGGGTTCTTAATCAATAATTGGTATCAGAGCGTGGTTCTTATTGAGTTAAGAAACCCTAACGTGAAGACAAGATCATAAACAGAGGTCGTGCTCTGTTCGAAGTTGACAATATGGCTGAGATAATCCCTGTAACGGCTCAGGAAAGCGTTTCCTCAACCATAAAATGTCCGATGCTCACAGCTACAAACTACACCGTCTGGTCTATAAGGATGCAGATTGTTCTTAGTGTGAATAAGGTCTGGGAGACCATCGAGCCTGGATCTGATGATGCAAAAAAGAATATCATGGCTCGTGGACTCTTGTTCCAATCAATACCAGAGAGTCTCACCTTGCAAGTTGGGAAACTCGAGACATCTAAGAAAGTCTGGGATGCAATAAAATCAAGACATGTTGGGGCTGATAGGGTAAAAGAGGCTAGGTTACAAACCTTAATGGCAGAATTTGAAAGAATGAAGATGAAAGAAAGTGAAAAGATTGATGATTTCGCAGGGAGACTTTCTGAACTAGCTACAAAATCTGCAGCTTTAGGAAATAACATCGAAGAAAAGAAACTTGTCAAGAAGTTTTTGAATAGTGTACCACGGAAAAGATACATTCACATCATAGCTGCTCTAGAACAAGTGCTTGACCTCAATGCAACAATGTTTGAAGATATTGTAGGAAGGTTAAAAGCCTATGAAGAGAGAATCTGTGATGAAGAAGAACATAATGATGATCAAAGCAAGCTTATGTATGCAAATCATGATTCACAGTCATACAATAAAAGCTTTAATGCAAACAGAGGTAGGGGACAAGGAGGAAGGTTCTACGGACGAGGAAGAGGAAGAGGTAGGACAGGAAATCAGAATCAAGGAGGATTCAGAGACAGGTCAAAAGTTGTATGCTACAGATGTGACAAGAATGGTCACTTTGCCTCAAATTGTCCCGAAAGACTGCTTAAATTACAAGAAACACAAGAGAATGAAGAAGAAGAAACTCAGATAGCAGAATTGATGATGCATGAAGTTGTATACCTTAATGAAAGAAATGTAAAACCAAGTGATTTCAAGACCAATACGGATAATGATAAAATTTGGTATTTAGACAATGGTGCAAGCAATCATATGACAGGAAATCGAGGTTATTTTGCAAGCATTGACGAAACTATTTCAAGAAAAGTCAGATTCGGAGATGATTCTAAGATTGATATAAAGGGCAAAGGTTCAATACTCTTTGTAACAAAAAATGGAGAACGCAAAATATTAGCTGATGTCTATTATATCCCTGATCTAAGAAGCAACATTATCAGTCTTGGCCAAGCAACAGAGTCAGGATGTGATGTTATAATGAAAGAAAACTACCTAATGCTCTATGACAAAGATGGTCTACTATTAGTAAAAGCATTAAGATCAAAGAATCGACTCTACAAAGTTATAATGGAAGCTGAAGTTCAGAATCAGAATTGCTTACAAGTTGAGAAAATCAGAGAATCAAGCACATGGCATGCTAGATTGGGTCATATTAACCTTGAAAACATGAAAACAATGATAAAAAAGGAGTTAGTCATTGGTTTACCAAATATTCAAGTTGAAAAGGAAACATGTGCCTCTTGCCTTCTTGGAAAACAGACAAGGAAAACATTTCCACAGGCAACATCATTTCGTGCTTCATGTGTTCTAGAGCTTGTTCATGGAGATTTGTGTGGACCAATAACACCACCCACTGCAGCACATAACAGGTATGTTTTTGTTTTAATTGATGATCACTCAAGGTATATGTGGTCATTTTTGCTCAAAGAAAAGAGTGAAAGCCTCAACAAATTCAAAAGTTTCAAGACAATTGTTGAACAAGAAACTGGACTGAACATAAAAACCCTAAGAACAGATAGGGGAGGTGAGTTCATGTCTCAAGAATTTCAAAATTTCTGTGAAACTTCTGGCATCAAGAGACATTTGACAGCACCTTATTCTCCTCAACAAAACGGAGTGGTAGAGAGGAGAAATAGGACACTTATGGAGATGACAAGAAGCATTTTAAAACACATGAACATACCAAATTACTTGTGGGGGGAAGCAGTGAGACATGCTACCTATGTCATTAACAGAGTGGCAACAAGAACTTTAGTTGACAAGACTCCATATGAAGCATTCAAGGGAAAGAAGCCAAATATAGAACACCTGCGAATCTTTGGTTGCACTGCGTTTGCCAAAGTAGAGTCTAATCACTTAAAGAAGCTTGATGACAGGTCAAGAACATTGGTATATCTAGGAACAGAACCAGTTTCAAAAGCCTATAGATTACTAGATCCAACAAAACGTAAGATAATTGTAAGCAGAGATGTAGTTTTTGATGAATCCAAGGGATGGAAATGGAACAATCTTGAAGAGAATGATGAAAACTCTGGAACATTCAACATTATTTTTGGAGAATTCGGAAACAATGGCATCAGAAATAGTGAAAGTAAATCAGGAGAAACAGAGGAATATGAAAAACAGGATAGTGAAGAAGAACCAGTTGAAACAGAAGCACCAGAACTGCCTGAAACAGAAACTGAGCATTGTCAAGACCAGCCACAACCAAAACTCAGAAGATCAGAAAGACAAACAAAGCAGCCTGGTTACTTAAAAGACTACCTCTTATTAGCTGAACTTGAAACAGAACGACTTTTACTAAGTCTTAATGAAGAACCATGGAATTTTGAGGAAGCAAAAGAACTAAAGGAATGGAGAGATGCATGTCAAGAAGAAATCTCATCCATAAACAAGAACAGAACATGGGATTTAGTTTCTCTTCCTGCAGAGTCTAAAGCAATTGGCTTAAAATGGGTGTTTAAAATCAAACGAAATTCTGATGGTAGCATAAATAAATACAAGGCTAGATTAGTAGCCAAAGGATATGTTCAGAGACATGGTATAGATTTTGATGAAGTATTTGCTCCAGTAGCTCACATTGAAACAATTAGGTTCATCATTGCTTTAGATGCATCAAAAGGTTGGGAAATTCATCATCTTGATGTAAAAACAGCTTTTCTCCATGGGGAACTAAAAGAAACTGTGTATGTGACACAACCTGAAGGATATATGATCAAAGGTGAAGAGAACAAAGTATACAAGTTAAACAAAGCATTGTATGGGCTGAAGCAAGCTCCAAGAGCTTGGAACAACAAGCTGAATCAGATCCTTACGGAGTTAAAATTTGTGAAATGTTCTAAGGAACCATCATTGTATCGGAAGGAAGAGAATAAGCAAGCTCTTGTGGTGGCAGTCTATGTTGATGATCTTTTGGTAACAGGCTCTAACTTGGATGTAATTTTCGAGTTTAAAAGAGGGATGGCCTCAAAATTTGAAATGAGTGATTTGGGAAAACTTACTTACTATCTTGGCATAGAAGTAATACAACATGAAGCAGGAATTATGCTAAGACAAGAGAGATATGCACTGAAAATCTTAAGTGAAGCCAGAATGGAGGAATGTAATGCAGTACATACACCAATGGTTGCAAATTTAAAGATAAGTAAAGCTTTGGAAGAAAAGAGTATAGATGAAAAAGAGTATAGGAGAAATATCGGGTGCTTAAGATATCTACTTCATACTAGACCAGATCTATCCTTCAGTGTAGGAGTTTTAAGTAGGTACATGCATGATCCTAAAGAATCACATGGAGCGGCATTAAAGCAGATTCTAAGGTATCTACAAGGAACTAAATCTTATGGTCTATCATTTGGTCGAAAGGATAAAATGAAGCTAGTAGGATTTAGTGACAGCAGTCATAATGTTGATGAGGATGATGGGAGAAGCACAACAGGCCACATTTTTTATCTAAATGATTGTCCAATTACTTGGTGTTCTCAAAAACAAGAAACAGTTGCCTTGTCTTCCTGTGAAGCAGAGTTCATGGCTGCAACAGAAGCTGCTAAACAGGCCATTTGGTTGCAGGAACTTCTAGGAGAGATCATTGAGGAAGTTTGTGAAAAGGTGCTGATCTTAATTGACAACAAGTCGGCAATAGCACTCACAAAAAATCCTGTCTTCCATGGACGCAGTAAACACATCCATAAGAGGTATCACTTCATTAGAGAATGTATTGCAAATGAACAAGTTGAAGTAGATCATGTTCCAGGAGACATACAAAAGGCGGACATTTTAACCAAAGCCTTAGGAAGAATCAAGTTTAGAGAGATGAGGGATCTTGTAGGAGTTCAAGACATATCACAAGAAGTTCTCAAGCTTAAAGGGGTGAATGTTGAAGTAAGCTTGAGTTAGAAGCTTATGGTTAAGAAGTTAACTAGAGTTAGAAGTTAACTTGAGATAAAAGATTAAGGGTTTTTAGGAGTTATCTAAAACCTAAGTAATATCTTGTTAAAGTCGGTTTATGAGCAAGTCGGTTTGTAAACTAGGTTTTATGTTTGTGTATAAATATGAGATGCCAAGGTGTGGTATTCCATGTGTGTGTTTAGAGATTGAGAGATTGTGTGAGGCCTTTGTTTTGAATAAGTTTCAAAGGTAATAAGAAAGTTGTTCTTATAAACACAAGTCTTGATCAAAAGGGTTTTACTTAGGGTTCTTAAACAATACATTCTACATAATGAAAGGATACATTCATACATAGCTTTTAAATATTCTGTAGTAGCGAGAGTCCCTTGTTCATTTGGATTGTTGTTGATTTTTCGTCTATACGTCCGAATACATTCAATTTTTATTGGGATTAGAAATTCTAACCATATTTTACGTTATTATCATTTGGGTTATACCCCAATTTTTACTACACATACTAACACGACTAACTAAAATCGAATTCTTAATTGAGAAAACCGTAGAAATGGACTACCTAACCTATTGTTTGGGAAAAAAAAATTAATATTGTTTTGATTATTAAATCATAGCCAACAACTTAGCCTCCTTCCTCTCGCTCTCCATTTATTTTCTTCTTCAGTATTGTTTTTGATTATCTAAACATGCTTATCATGTTATCATATAGCTGGATTAATCGAGACTTAAATTTTATAAGTAACTACTCTAAAGCATTGAATATTATTCTAATGCTCTTGTCTTATAGACAATTATCATTTGCCATGCTATTGTGATTATCTTATTACCAGCTCAAGTCGTGGCCTTCGTCCGATTGGAGTGCCCCATTTATTATTTTGTCGGTCCACTACCCTTGTAGTATTATTTTTGCTGCCAGAGGATACAGGCCTTGCATTTTTAATTTACTTTAGAGAAAAAGACTTATCGTTTTTTGAAATCTAGATTGGCAAAATGTTGTCAATTTAAATTATATGCAAACTAACATTTATGGTTGTTGGAAAAGTATATAGTTCTTTTTTTTTTTTGTCATCCGAAATTAATTAGAGCTTAAGTATATAGTTTCTCCTAGTAAATCTAAAAGGATTAAAAAAAAATTATAGTAAAAAAAATGATTATGTAATATATGAAAATTAATAATTGTAAGAAAATAATTTTTTTTATGAAGCTTGTTCACATGATAAGCGCTAGTATTTGGTTTTCATAGAATGAAAGAGAGAAAAATAGAGTGTGCACGATTATGTTAGGGTTTTTAGATTTTGAGGGAATTTGAATGCGGTTTTTCGTTATAGAACAAGTTATGTTGGCCGTCGCAAGATAGTTTTTGTGAGAAGTGATTTCAACATTTTTTAAATGAATCGGAGAATCGGTGTTTTAAATTAATCTGACGAGCTTATGCTAGTTTTTTTTTTTCGGGTTTCTCTTAAAAGTAAAAATAAACTTAAATTTTCTTTGTTAAGGTTTGAAGTTTTTAAGAGAATTTTTTTTTTCTTAATATCTGTTACCTAGTGGCCAGTTAGAGACACCATGATCAAGCTTGAATTTGGTAGGATGGCAACAAAGGTGCACCACTAGAGCCCACTTGTTCATCCCAAAATTTATAGGAAATTCATAACTGAGTAAGGAAGGTAAAAATTGTAGAAAACCAAGATGATAATATCTTGATGTGTAGAGGATCAAAATGATATCACAAACATATTGTAAATATTATAAAGTATATGTAGTTTAAAATGATATCTTCTCACACACTATTTTAGATTTGGGCTTTCTTTTAAGTTTTGACCCAACAAATTAAATCCATAAACACATACAAAAAATAGGAAAAACGGTCTATTTCCCCACGAGAAGTATCGCATCATAACAGATAGAACCCATTCTTTGACCTCGGTCCATATCTCCATTAAATCAAAGTTATATTCCTATTTCTCCCCGAATCGAAAGTTCTATAGCTAAATGTCCCCGAATCTGGGTTATATCGGTTTGCGCTGTAAACCCAAACTAAACCGAATACCAAACCACTAAAATTTGATTCTAGACTGAATTAAAATATGACCCACCCGTAAATGGTCCGATATCATCTTCTTCTTCACCTGATTCTTCAAACAACCAAACGATTTTGATAAATTTGATATCAAAATTACAAAAGCTCATTGGAGAAATTCATTGTGATTAACCAATAATCAAATTCAATGGTAATCAAATTCGATGGTAATCAACTTACAACATCCTCTCCCTATAGCCACCAAACCCATATCGGTCAAATCGCCGGAATTCTTAATCGACAACGACTGCAATCCTCCACATAGAGCCACGCCGTCAAACCTCCTCCATTCTGTAGTAGAGCAAACACCTTGGAACTGTCCTAGCTTCAATGTTCTTAGCTTCTTGCATTTAGAATTCTCTGTCTCTAAAGCTACACCACTATGCTTCACATCACATCTTTCCCTACGTCAAGAACCAGCTCCTCTAGATTCGGTAAACAGAGAAAACCTCAATTAGCGTCCTCGCCGTGACAGCTGAATCTCCACCTTCTTCCCTCGTCTTCTTCTTCAACAACCTCCGGATCTCCGACGGCGTCTTCGTCCCACACAAACGACGGCGGTCTCAACAAACGTAAGATTATCTCAAACAATATCAGATCGTTAGAGAAACTTATACCATGAGAAAGAAAAATGAGTTTAGCAATGATTCTAGAAGAATCGAATTTGATTACAGGTCATATGGTGGTGATGGGATATGCTCTCGTTTTTTTTAATTCGATTGAATTTGGTTTGATTGTTTTAAAAAGTAGAGAATTTGCTTTAGATTTTGATTTGAATCATCAAGATCTACCTTTGGGTTGATTCGATTTGTTAATTATGGTCATATATTTGTGTCTACGATGTGGCTCTGTTTGTTGTTTGGGTTTCAGTTTTATGAAACATTGTTTTTTTTTTTTTTTTTTTGCTCTATGAATCTATGGTCAAATTATAATGTCAACGGGTAAATCGGGTTTATTCTGGTTATAATTAGGTTTAGATGGTTTATTTCTCGGTTTTGTATACAATAAACCGATTAAACCCAGCTCCGTGGGGTTTTGGCTCCCGAACTTTTGTCTCGGGGATATTAAGCTATAAAACTTTCGATTCGAGGGAAAATAGGAATAGAACTTTGATTTCATGGAGATATGGACCGAAGTCAAAGAATGGACTCTATCTGTTATGATGCGATACTTATCGTGGGGAAATAGACCGTTTTTCCCAAAAAAATAAGATGATCCGCAATGATGAGAACACGTGTCAACGCACTGATGAAACATCGTCTCTGAGTCCACGTCAGCAACTTCGCCGTCTCGTCCAACCCCAACGACGGTTTTAAAAAAAAAATGCCTCTTCTCAATTTTCCAATTAAAACCAAAAAAAAACAAATTCATATCTCCCAATTTTACCAGAGAGCGTCGTCTTCTTCTCACGAAACCCTAATCGTCGATTCTCCTACATTCTTCCGGAATCTTGTACTATCTCCGACGGATCTTGAATCGGTATTCTCAGCTGCTGAAATCTCCGGTGAGTTTTCCCAGACTGTGGTCAACTTCGAGGGTTTCGATTATCGTTTTATTTCATTTCGATCCCTTTCTTTGATTGATTTTTAGGTTAAAAATTTCAAATTGATTGCTTTTTTCCAAGAAAAGAGGGGAATTTGAGCTAAATTACTGCAACTTTGTTTTTCGATATTGATTCGTAAAGGTTAAGTAGAGATAGATAGTAAAGGTGGTGTCTTTGTGGACTGTTTCGGATCTAATTTGCAAGAAAATTACAAGGTGTTGTTAGATTGTTTAAAAACTTGGGAATCGTCGATGATTGCTAGCGTAATGTGGTCAGTTTTGTTGGTTTTTGTGTTGTGTGGTCAATTTGATTGGTTTTTGTATTGTGTGGTCATGTTTATAGCTTCCTCCTATATCGTTTCCAAGAAAATATCGGGAAAAAGAGGGGGAATTTGAGCTAAACTACTGCAGCTTTGTTTCAGTTTTCATGTGTGTTTCGGTATTGGTTCCCTACAGTTAAGTAGAGATTGTAAAGGTGGTGTTTTTTGGGGGATGTTTCGGATCTAAATTTCAAAAAAACTTGGGAATCTTGATGATTGGTAGGGGAATGCAGAGAACGTTTTGCTGCGAGGTGGAGAACGGTTGGAAGGAATCCCTCTCTCAAGGGATTGTAATCGTAGGTCCTAAAGCAAGAACCAGGGACAAACCTTGGGATAATCTCTGATTTTTCATATTTGATTAGGAAACATACTTAAGAAGCAGCATGACTCGGATTTTGGTTCAACGAGGTTCATCAGGAAGTTCTTCCAACTCGAGCCGCCCTTCTTCCTCGGGAACAGAACCACAGATAAACAATACTATTCAGGTTCCTCCTGCTACTATAGATGAAGAAATTACGGATGAGAAACAAGAAGAGGTTACTGTAGTTGAAAAAGCAGAGTGTTCTGATGCTAAGAATGTAGCTGTGGACAGTAATGAACCTGTGGATAGAGAAGATGATGAAGGGTTGGTAGTTTCAGAAAATGTTCATGTTGAAAGTGAAGGTATAGATTGTGATTCTCCAGTTAGTGGTGGCAGTAACCCTGATTCACCACCCGTACCAGCTCCACCACCAAAACCTTCTTCGACTGTCAATCCTGGGAATAACAGATCGGTCTTGGGAAGTTTTGGCGCTTTACGAATTGGACCAACACGAAGAGGTTCTGGGCCTCGCTCTCTTGTTTCCAGTAGGAGTTCGCCAACTGGATCGCATCCTTCTTCTCCAAGATCACACAGTGAGAACGAGGGCTATAACAGTTCTGATGAGCATATGCCATGCTATGTGCCCTCTCATCCTGGCTCTGGCTTGGTAAGTTTGTTTTCTGAAATAAAAGATGTTTTGACTGCTTGGATTCTTAGGCTTGTTTTATATGGATTTATTTTCAATAAATTATTTAATTCCTCCCTCACAGGAAAGAGAACACCAGTTTGAAGCAGAGATTAGAGATTCGAAAGGCTTTGAAATTAGGCGGATGTTGGAAGATGGAAATTGTCTTTTTCGGGCTGTTGCAGATCAAGTATATGGGGACTCAGAGGCATATGACTTGGCTAGACAAATGTGCATGGATTACATGGTAATTTTTCTTTTCTACTGAAATAGGTTGTTTTGACGAAGTTTTAGCATTTGAGACCAGCACATGAGTTAGATTAGCGAACTGACTTGCATTTGAGAACAGCTCCCTGGAAAGATATATTGAAACAACGATAAAATTTGCTTTATGGATAGGCTGCTCACCTTGTTTGGTAGACTGTGTTACATTCTTAGTTTCTAGTCAACCATCCACCAAGAAAGGAATAACAGTTAAAAGCATAAATCTTACCATTTGATGGCTAATTTATATGACTATATGGTGGGGTTCAAGAAAGCGTCAATCTTAGGTAAGTGGAGCGAAACAAAGAGAGAAACAACAGCATGTACTAGTACGCGATAATGATATACCTTTTAAAGTTCGGTATTGTTAATCTAACCATTTTTTTTGCATGTACATTGTTTTGGACGGAGCACAGAATTAATTTTTTTAGTGTTGATGGTAGCAATCCACAGAACTTACTGGTTTCATAATGAATTGTTTAGGAGCAAGAGAGGGATCACTTTTCTCAGTTCATAACCGAAGGTTTTACTTCTTACTTGAAGAGGAAAAGAAGAGATAAGGTGCTTTGCTCTTATCCATGTCTTCACTATGGTAACTTTCGGCTCCAACAATCTCTTTTGACGCTTCCTTGATACAATGGTGATAGGTCTATGGAAACAACGTAGAGATCCAAGCTTTAGCAGAAATGTATAATAGGCCAATCCACATTTACTCATATAGCACAGGTGCAACTTAGATTCACATTATGAAAGTTCTTTATGTTCTTTAGTGTAACAAGAAATTTATGAAACAAAAATGTATTGTTATTTTTTACAGAACCTATCAACATGTTTCAAGGAAACTACAGCACGGATATACCTCCCATAAGACTGAGTTACCACCACGGGAATCATTATAATTCTTTGGTGGATCCACATCGGTTGACAGTTGGTGCCGGACTTGGATTTAGTAGCCTTAGTGGGGTAAGTATTGTTAAGCTGTCTGTACTCTTTCTCTTCTTTGTTCAACTGATGCAATCTTTGGTTTTTGACATCATTTTTCTTGTTTTGAATCCAGAGACATGTGGACAAGGAACAGGTGAAAGCTGCTATAAAGGCTCAGCAAGAACATCAGATTGATAATGTAAATAGCCCGTATCCATCCATAAACAGATTCACCTGTATGTCTTGAGTGTGTGACTGCTAAAGTGTATCTATCTTTGTTCCAGGCGCTCTTAGCAGAAGGGAGATTTTACTCTGACCTTGAGCTTACGGAAAAGGAAATAGAGCGGGCGGTAATGGATGCTTCCCGTGCTGAGTATCTTATGGAATGGTCTAAGCCACGAATTGGTCCAAAGGAATCATCCACCTCGAATGCTGAGACATCATCTTCTGGAGCTAGTAAGTAATTTTCTTTTGAATCTGCTCACCTAGAATATACTTGAAACAAAGCATTTTGAGACTTTTTAAATTTTGAAGCAGGACCATCAGGCAGTGATTCGAAACCAGAGGAGGCAGTAAAAAAAGAAAAGACTGTGCTGAGTAGCAGTATCGAGATGGTATTGTCGATGGGATTTAGCTACACACAGGCCATGGAAGCTTATAGCATTTTTGGGGATGACGTTGACTCTATGGTCTGTTATGTACTGGAAACAAGCTGTGGCAGCAACAACCGACGCAAAGGCAAAGCCACGGAATAGAGAATGTAACATGAGTTTGCTCTGTATTAGTAGTATATGAAATACCACCAATTCGTATTCCTCCTACCAACGGTGGGCGATTACCCTTACCATAATAATGAGAATAAACGTGTGCATTCATCACATGTATGCATATGTTTGTGATCTATGTACTTTAGTTGTACAAGTTGAATAAGAGAGAGTAAGTGAACACTTTTCTTTTGCTAAAGCCGACGAAAGAATCCACCAATGAAATCGCAACCGTTTACCTTATAACTCTTCACTTCTTGATAATTATGTCATTTTAATTCGTATTTATTTTAACATTCAATTACACTGCCCATAACCTGCCAAAAATGGTCAATTATTCAATATGTATAATATATTTCCAAGACATTGTGCATGCTCTTTATTACTTTTCCATGTTCAACATTATCCAGTAGTATCCTCATCATGTCTGAGATGGTCGTGAATTTGGGCAATCATGGGCGTTATTGGGGCCATGTTAAAATCGAAACAACAATAGCTACAACGGAAGAAGAAATCAATGAAGGCATACAAGCCCTGCTGTCAAACACCTCATCAAACCTTAATAGGTTGATTGGTCTAGACATGATACCGTTTCGTGTGGCACCAGAACCATCGTCAACATCTGGAAAACCCTCAAACGCCGCTATCCTCCAGCTTAGTGATGTTAACTTGGGCATGGAACCCCCATTTATTAAATGGGTATGTACAAAAAAAATCAACCCATTTAAACCCATTTAGGGAAAAATGCTAAATGGGCTTAAATGGGTTACCCCAATTAAACTCATTTATTAAATGGGGTTTCACACAAATAAATGGGTACCCATTTAAACCCATTTATGCTTCATTTTATATTAGTTATTTTTATTAAAAATGTTAATATCTTAATAACTAAAATAAAAGAGCAAAATATTAAATATATTTAAAACTAATATTCTACTTAAATTCAATTTTTGATTTAAATATTTAAAACAAAATGTAAAACCACGTCTTCTATAACATGGTTATGCGATTTTGGCGGGAAAACGCGGATTTACGGTTTTGGCGGGAAAACGCAGGTTTACGGTTTTGGCGGGAAAACGCGAATTTACGGTTTTGGCGGGAAAACGCGGATTTATAGCAGCTTTCACCGGAAAATGACGTTTTCCCGCCAAAACCGTAAATCCGCGTTTTCCCGCCAAAACCGTAAATCCGCGTTTTATCAATTATATTTAATGAAATAATCTGTAAATTTTAAATAATCAATTAAAATAATTATTTATTATATTATATTGTTTAGAACAAAACAATGTTATATGGATCTAAATGGGTTTAAATGGGTAAAGGAAATTTAAATGGGTTTAAATGGGGAGGTTAAATGGGGTATAAACTTAAATGGGGTTAAATAGGGTGGGTCTAAATGGGGTGGGTTTTAAATGGGGTGGGTCTAAATGGGGTGGGTTAGCCCATATTAACATCTCTACTCCAGCTATATGACTCAACACAGTGTCTTATAATCCGGCTTCATTCCCTCCATGACGTGCCTGAATCTCTCTACAACTTCCTAATCCTGCCGGGTTTTACTTTCGCGGGGTTTGGAATAAAAGACACAATTGCTAGCCTCAAGAAGGATTATGGCTATGTGTGTAAGAACGTTCTTGAAGTTGGACCAGCCGTGTGGACCTCCTATAAATGCAATACTCAGCTCTTGCGTGATGAGTTCGTGTATATGAGGATACCACAAGTCAGTAGTATCTCTAAACCTTGGGGTAGTAATTTTGAACTAACGGAAGATGAGATCAAACTCGCTGTCTCGAATGCTTTCTATGCATTTCATTTTGCAAAGATATTGCTTAACATTCGATAAGGTTATTCTATGAAAAACAAAATTGGTTGTCCATTTTTGAGGTGTGTTTTGTGTTTTAGGGTTTTAAACTTTTTTGTTGTTGTTAATGTTCTTGCAGATCCCTGCCATAAAAGTTGCTATTGATCGCTCGAGAAGGAGGAGTACGGTTTCCTTTTGTGCTCAAGCTCACCTTTCATAATGCGAATGCGAATTTTCGTATTGTAGATCAAATTGCTTACCTTATCATTTACTTTTTAATATTGTTTAATTTGCGATGTAGTTGTTAAATTACGCTTCAATGTTTGGACGAGTTTCTTTATGCCAAAATTTCGTTTCTAATTCCATTTAATCATCAAATGTTTGCTTTATGTTAATTTGATTCATATCAACAAACTACATGGTGATTGGTTGAGACTTTGACTGTAAATTAATGACTCTTAGATATTGTGGGTTTTAAAAAATCAGCTGTGATGTTTACATAAATAATTAGTTACATTTTGTTGGTTTTCAAAAAATACTCATGGCAGGAACAATATGAATGAGTTGGACTTTGACAAATTTTATGAACACTTTTATTGGAGAAAATTCCAAAAAGAAAATCTTCACAGTTTTTAAAGTCTAAACACCGGCTCCTAGCTAGAATCTCTGTAATATGCGAGGTTTAAGATAAGTGATATTGGTACCACAACTTTGATCACGTGCTAGTCCCTGCTGATCATGTAAGCACAAGTCTTAAGGACACATAACTATGTAGACGATGCCATACAAGTGCTCACCAAGCTGAGCTGTTCAGGAAAGGTCCTAGTACTCGTTTCCTTGTTACCGGGGATGTTTACCGTATTGATTCTACTCATTCTCCGGTTTTCCATCAAGTGTTTGGTCCCCTGTGTTTTTTTACTTCGGCTGCTTTGCTCGGCATCATGTCTTTCTTTTAACGGCTAGGATTCCACTTTGTATGCCGCTGAGGATTTATAGAAATTAACACAAACGGGTTTGGGGTGACCGAGCAAGATATTTTGAAACAAAGTGGAGGATTATAAACTAATGTTGCTTGTGCCTTTGGACTTGGACTGGAGAGACTTGCTATGGTTTTGTTTGACATCCCTGATATAAGACTTTTCTGGTCATCAGATGAACGATGATTCACGTCCCAGGTGATTACTTCAAATATTTAGGATGATGAGATTAACGTCTAAATTTTTACTTCTTTTTCTTACATTAATGTATTTTGCAGTTTGGAAAAGGAGAGCTAGGAGTGAAATTCAAGAAATATTCAAAGGTAAAAACGTTTCTTTCCATCTTCATGTCTATGTCTCGTAGACTAATGAATCTTAGTTCAAGACCTATCTATCTTATATGTTTAAACCATGGCAAACAAAACCGTCTATTCTTTTTAGCTAAATCCATTTTACAATCAATAGGAGCTTGCAGATACTCTTAAGTTCCAAGAAAAAAAAAGTAAGACTTACGAGTTCCCAACATTTGATATTTCTTCCTGAATTAGTCTGCAAGAACTTTCTGCATGTACAACGAAGTGATGAGGAATGATTTTGCGGTTTTATGACTAAGGGATTGAAAGAAGTCTGACGTACAATACTCCACGATGCACATTTCGGTGATTGTAATGACCCGAAACACCATAGTTATCGAATGTTATTATCTGAAAACACCACATAGAGAATTAGATGCAGAAATATATCTAAGTGATATCCTGATGAGTGTCTTTAACTACACTGTAGAAGCCAAGAGTCATACTGTGTAGATATCGTGATTAGTGACTTCTTCTTCGATGATCGCTGCTAGCAAATCGTGGCTCCATAATTGCCCAAAACCATCCTGCGAGAGAGTAAAAAACGATAACCAATTGAGATCGAGACTAATAATCTCACACCCTCTCAGGTTAAAATTGGGAGAGATGATTTTTTTTTTTTACCGTAGCTGACGTGGACTTAAATTTTTGTTTATTATTGGGAAAAGAACGGAAGAATTGGTGAGAAACCCTGAAGAACATCGAGACTAATAATCTCTCTCACCGTTGTTGTGGTTATTGAGAGTGTGATTTCACCGGCGGTGACAGCCACAGCTTCCAAGAGAAATGCTCAACCATTTCCTCTATCGCTCCTACACTCCTTTCCTCTTCTCCAGATCCTTCTCCTCTACGCTTTTCGTTAAAGGTCTCTCTCTCCCTCTCCCTCTTCCTCTGTTATCATCTGCGATTAGGTCTCGACTTTTCTGATTCTTAATCCATCTATCACGAATCTAATTACCCATTTCTTGATTTCTAATTCTGTGAATTGGGTATGTCCTCAATTGGTTTCTGAGGTCTTAAAGGTTGTGACTTTGACAGTGCCAATTTGATGAGAATAAGCTATTATTGTGTCTGTTTGGTGTGATTTTACCAGTTCTTAGGGATGAGTTTTTTGATAGAAACAACAAGGGTATGTGTGAATTTGCTTCTTAAGTACCACATAGTGTCTTACCAATCTAAAAGTTTCAAACTTTCGATGTAAAAGCATTATTATGTCTTTGTTTGATCTGTGTCTTGTCTTACTCTTGTTGCTAAACTGATGACTCTTGTTGCAGGCATATCTTTCTCAAGCACAGAAGAGACATTAACCCAAGCATTTTCTCAATATGGTCAAGTTCTCAGAGGTCAGTCTCTAATCTCAACAGCAAATTAGTTCTACAAATCTCTGTCTTTTATCAGAGTTATTTATCATTCCTTGATTAGTTCCAGTTAGTTAGTTTGAGGATAATTAGAGTCTATACTTGTATATAAGGTTGTAAGTGTACATTGGTCCATTCTAATGCAGACATGTTTAGTGTAACAAACTTCTTTTGATAGTCTTCTTCATCGTTTGGGTTGCTTCAGTGGATGTTATAATGGATAAAATCAGATGCAGACCAAAAGGGATTGCTTATGTCACATTCTCTTCTAAAGAAGAAGCCGGGAAAGCTTTATTAGAACTCAACGGCCGGGTATTACTTTCTTTTTCCATTTTAGAATTCACTTGCTGTAAGTTCCGTATCTCAGATAAGTCTCGATTTTCGTATAAACCCTTTCACAATATTGTTCTTTCAAACTTATAGCTTTCTCCCATTAGGTAGAAATAGATTTGATAAATACTTGTGAATCACCTGGTGGAGCATTAGAACAAGATATGTCAGAAAACGGAACTATTTTCTTGAAATAATCTAAAATCATCAACTCTTTCAACTGGTTATGTTGCCTAGTTTTCATCAAGTCTTGTTATATGGATCACAGTTGGTGGACGGGCGGGTCGTGATCCTTGACATAACAAAAGCTGGAAAACACAATCCACCAGATACCAAGCCGAAGCATGCAGGTGGTGATAGCTGATACTTCTCTTTTGTCAACTTGTTAGGTTAAATTTTGAGACTCAGAAAAACTTCAAACCAGTTTTGAGGTTATTTGGCATTGGGGAGTTAGTTTTAGAGTTTGATGTGCCATAAAAAAGAGTTAGGAGCTTTGAGTCATCATAGACCAGTTTATCGAATTGGTAAATTTCTTCTCGATATTGTTTGACTCAGTGCAATGAGTTCCAAGCAGCCAAAACAAGGTTAGTCCAGAAAGTTAGGCAAGAAGATCTGCAGCATTTTATTGTTTTGCGTTTGACCATGTATACGATTATGAGTCTTGTGGACGATTATGCTTCTTCTTCTTTGCCTTCACATACTGACCTCATTGTTCTCTTGATCTCTTCACAAGTTTCTTCATGTCTTTGGTATCTGCTTCTAACAAAAGCACCAGTGATTAGATAATCTAATTAAAAAATCGCTTAAGAACCTATGCATTATCTAAAGCTTGTTTACTTATGTGAAATTCGCCGTTTAGGGCATTAACATGATTCTCACTTTATATATACATCTATCGAACAACCACATTTGTAAACATTCGTGTCTATTGATCTCTAAATTTGTCTTTGTTGTTTCATAGACAACAAAACTAAGTTATGAAAGATACCAAGTTGCTACTCTTTATCTACATGTGTAGGCTAATATCATTTTGTTGTATACAAATCATGTTTTTGTTTGTTTTACATATGTTAGGCTAATTTTTCATACAAATGAAATCTTAAGACATACAAATCATAATTTTTCTTACAAATGTTAACGTTAGGCTAATTTCATTTTCTTAAAATTATCTACCTTAAGACAAACAAATGGAAGCTAAAGTCATACAAATCATAAGTTTCATTTTTCTTACAAATGTTAGGCTAATTTCATTTTCTTACAATTATCTATCTTAAGACAAACAAATGGAAGCTATAGTCATACAAATCATAAGTTTCAATTTTCTTACAAATGTTAGGCTAATTTCATTTTCTTACAAATATATATCTTAAGACAAACAAATGGGAAGCTGGAGTTGTACATGAAATACAAACAAAAATGATTGTAAGAAAATGAAATTAGCCTAACATTTGTATTGGACGAGGAAGTTTTTGTATCTTTAATTATGATTTGACTCAATTGCCTCCATAGAACGGACATACCATGTGATAATCAATTTTGCAGTTGTAATTTTACCAATCTTACCATACGACCGTGAGACTAAAATCAATCTTCAAGTTTGTAATCATAAAGAAACTAAATTGAAGTCACACAAAAATAAGTGGGTCAAAAGAGAATTACAACTTTCTCATCTTCTGTTTCATAACTTGAACTATTAACATACTACATTTAATTTAGTAAACATAACTTAATGTAAGAAAATTTAATACGGTGAACCTAAACATGAGTTACATTTTGAAACAAAATTTTAAACTAATATGTTACTTTTCGATTTATTAAATAAATTCTTGTTTCCTGATCCTATAAATTCTAAAGTTTCTTCCATATCTAAAATCATCCCAAAAATCTAAGTCTAAAGTCTAAACCACAAAACAAACGAAAGGTAAGAAAAAAGGGATTAACAAGAAAGATGGGAAGCAAAGCTGTTGTATCAATCTTGTTAATGGTTTCTCTTTGTGGTACCATTTTTTTCACTCAAGGAGTAGCTGAAATGCATAAGCCGCCGACATTTCCAGGACTTTTCCCACCGGGCTCACCCGTGGATCTAGTAAAATGTTGGTCGTCTCTCTTCAACGTTGAAGGATGTGTGCTCGAAATCTCTAAATCAATTTTCTCCGGAAAATTTGAAAATATGGAAGGCGCATGTTGCAAGGCGTTTTCAGCCTTAGATGCCAACTGTTGGCCCCAAATGTTTCCGTTGAATCCGTTTTTCCCTCCTCTCCTCAAGGATATTTGTGCGCGTATTGTCCCAAACTCTCCTACACACAACTAAAAGCAAGAATGATTGTTGATCTACAACACATTTAGACTAGTTGTTAGCTTCGAATTCCAAGTTTTTAAAAGTTAATTTTTGTTAACAACATGTGAACTCAAATTTTCGTTATCTCAATAAAGTAAAGGGTTTACAATTTTGGCTTGAATCTCGTCTCTAAACTATCAAAATTTCAGTTGTAATTTATTTTCAAACACACGAAGCACTCGTTGTACAAACGCTATTTTTCTTTTGAATATAATTTAACATTATTGTAAAAAAAATTTTTTTAGCAATATTCATACAAAATCTCCTTATTTATGACTTCGGTATTTAAAACGGGAAAATTCCCAAAAAAAAACAAACTAATTTTAATTTGGAAGTTTAATACCCAATTCTTTTGGATTGGTAGAAAAATATCACATTTATTTAATTGTTGTCAATTAAAACATTATCTTTTAATTGATGGTCGATTAAGACATACTGTACGACTTAACAGACGTTCAATCGGCTGACGGAATCTCTAAACCGGGGTTAATTGGGCTAAGTAAAAGACTACAGTGCCCTCATTAGTTTTCCCCAAATCGATATATGAATATGAGACAACTCTCCATTTTCCTGTACGTTTATGTGCCGAGCAATATAGCTTCCACTTGCACTTCTCATGACTGCATATAGCTTCAATACATACTTCAAGAGTTGATCCTTGAACTCTTCCCCACTGTTAAATTTCTGCGCTATCTAGATGTAAGGAGGTTTATCCTTGGAGTAGCTCTTTCTTGATGATCTTCTTTCTGCTTGGTCATACGCATCCCATTCTTCATCTGTGTCCATGGCAGGATCCGGACGATCTGCATCAAAACATGGAATACAAACAAAAATGATTATAAGGAAATGAAATTAGCCTAACATTTGTATTGGACGAGGAAGTTTTTGTATCTGTAATTATGATTTGACTCAATTGCCTCCATAGAACGGACATACCATGTGATAATCAATTTTGCAGTTGTAATTTCACCAATCCCACCATACGACCTTGAACCTGGTTTAGCTAACTACCTTCACTGGGGTCGAGACTAAAACCAATCTTCAAGTTTGTAATCATAAAGAAACTAAATTGAAGTCACAAAAAAATAAGTGGGTCAAAAGAAAATTATAACTTTCTCATCTTCTGTTTCATAACTTGAACAACTAGTAACATGTACACTACATTTACATTAGTCAACTTAACTTAATGTAAGAAAATTAAAAACGTTGAACCTAAACATGAGTTACATTTTGAAACATAATTTTAAACTGATGTTACTTTTCGATTTATTAAATAAAATCTTGTTTCCTGATCCTATAAATTCTAAGTTTCTTCCATATCTAAAACCATCCCAAGAATCTAAGTCTAGAGTCAAAAGCAAGTCCAGAACAAAGTAAAGGGAAAAAAAAGGATAACTCAAGATGGGAAGCAAAGCTGTTGTATCAATCTTGTTAATGGTTTCCCTTTGTGGTACCATTTTTTTCACTCAAGGAGTAGCTGAAATGCAAAAGCCGCCGACATTTCCAGGACTTTTCCCACCCGGCTCACCCGTTGATTTGGAAAAATGTTGGTCGTCTCTCTTCAACGTTGAAGGATGTGTGCTCGAAATCTCTAAATCAATTTTCTCTGGCAAATTTGAAAATATGGAAGGTGCATGTTGCAAGGCGTTTTCAGCCTTAGATGCCAACTGTTGGCCCCAAATGTTTCCGTTGAATCCGTTTTTCCCTCCTCTCCTCAAGGATATTTGTGCGCGTATTGTCCCAAACTCTCCTACACACAACTAAAAGCAAGAATGATTGTTGATCTACTACACATTTTAGACTAGTTGTTAGCTTCAAATTCCAAGTTTTCTAAATTTAATTTTTGTTGACAACATGTGATCTCAAATTTTCGTTATCTCAATAAAGTAAAATTTTAGCAATATTCATACAAAATCTCCTTATTTATGACTTCGGTATATAAAACTCTTATCAATGTGTCTAGGGTCCAAATATATAAGAACTAAAACCACATATAATGACATGGTTTCACTACTATCTTAAGTCATCGGTGTCAGGTGCATCCCACCACATTAAATGTAGAAACTGAGAATATGAATCAGTAGTCCTAATCATAAAAAGGTTCTATTTTGGGAATGAACAACAAAAAAAAATTATATATTTTTTTTGGGAATGAACAACACAAAAAATAATTTTTTTGTGACTTCAATTTAGTTTCTTTATGATTACAAAATTTAAAAAAAAAAAAAAAAAAAAAAAAAAAAAAAAAAAAAAAAATTATATCAACTATTTCGGTCTGTCGTCTTTTCCTTTCCACTGTGGTTGATTAATAAGTTGTATGCAACATATAAAAAAGAAAATGGTATAAAATTTAACATTTACACCAAAAAAAAAAAAAATTATATCAAGTGACTGGTCTTCATATATCAAAACAAAAAAATTATATCAACAAAAAATGAATCAGTAGTCCTAATAACACAAGTTATTCTTAATATATCATGAGAATAACTAAATGAAGACCATGTAGCTTGAAGATCGACGACGAATGACAAGCAATTTGATAACGGTGCACATTATGTGGACACAAGGTGCGTCACATAAGATTGATGCACACTTGTTGAGTGATTATGTTTCAAATAAAGGGTTTCGGTTTAGCAGAAAATCTGGAATGGAATTGCTGATTGGTTGCGATTAAGCCGGGTTCAACTTAAGTAGGAGTGAAAGACCCTAGAATACGCAGAGGCTTCAGATTGCGTTTAAACCAAGATCAAATCGAAGCCGGTTTTGGTTCGGGTTACCAAGTTGTTAGCTGGTTTAAAAGCTTTTACTCTGTTCTTCTTCTTGTACTTTGCTCTTGAGCTAGAGAGAGTTGTAACGGTGGATGTATAACTGCAACATTGACATCTATTGGATTGCTAACTCAAGTTGGCCTGACACCAGTGTCCATCCTACACTTGAAGTGGCCCTAAGAACAATTATAAATTGTGGACCATTAACATAAAGGCAATTAGAAAAAAAAAACAAAATTGTGGACATATTATATGGGAGTGGGACTCGAATTTTTAACCCTTAAGCCACGAACAATGAAAGAAACCAACTAAACTAATGGACATTGTACATATATATGTGGCCTCAAAATGTACCATAAACGCATGCTTCTCCCGCTTGTCCTCAGGGCCAGCACAGCCCGAGACATAGGGTTTCACATGGAAACTTGACATCGGTAAAAGTCTTGTATGTGTTCTTTGTCTGATCGATAGTGAAGAGTTGATTCGGGTTTACCTTCTTTGGTTATCTTATTGTCATGACTCTAATATTTGATGATATAACAAAAAAGGTGAATGTATAGACGAAATAAAACCAATATAACAAACAGAATAAACAAAAGTACAAAACAAAACACAAGTATAATACGACAAAGGTTATAACAAAAAAAAAAAAAAACAATACAAAAAAGGATAATCTTGTCTTTGATATAATAGAGGATGAACATTAAAGAGTTGTTAGTCTTTCTTTAGGTTTGTTTGAATAAGCACATGACAAGATATTCGGATAAGGGCTGCGATTTTTATGTTTCTTCTTTGGTTCCTTTTGTTTTGGCTTCTTTTGTATACTCTAAATTGTTATCTTTTTAATATTTAATTAATACTCCACTTTCCAATTTTCTTTTGTTTTATTTTTAATTTTACTTTGCAACTTACCTCCACTTTACATTTCTTTTTATTTTTTTGGATTTATTAATATTTGGCACTAAAAACATTAATTAATTTAGCCATAAGAGAATATATTCAGAGTTTCATACACACAAAAGAAAACAGTAAAGAGCCATTAATCAAATATAGAACTATTTAATTTTGGCTTAAGAATAACAAAAGAAAAAAGTTATTTAATTGCTTGTGTTAAAAAATATATAAGCTATTTAATTTTGGCTTAGGAATAACAAAAGAAAAATAAGCAAACTGGGACTGTGATTGATTGCATAGACTGAAATATTTTAGTAAATTCAATGTGTGATTGGTAAAAATTACTTCCTCTATTTCATATTAGAGGATGTTTTAGAAATTTTATTTTGTTTCAGAATGTTAACGACAAAAAAATTCAAATTTTCTTTGTAAAAATTAAATTTATACAATTTTGTGGCTGTTTATAATATGTAGTAAATATTTTCACTGCCCAAACTCTCTTTAAGTATATATACTCCAACCGAAAAATAATAAAAATATCTATCTTAAAAAGAATACTACTACATAAACTATTGTTTTAAACACTCATTTTCTTTTTATTTATCTGAAGGCAAGTGAAATCTCTATAAAAAGAAATATGTTTTCCAAAATAAAATTTAACTTTCATTATATGTGATTTATATATATATATATATAGCAAATGTTTCCAAAATCCACGCTTCACTAATAAATAGGATCTTTTATTTTATTTTTAACACTAATAGATAGGATATAATTTTTTTTCAACATCTCATTCATTCATTGATTTCAAATCGAATACAAGAGTTGATACATTCGTAATACATCAACAATAAGCAAATCCAAACATACATCTACATATTTATAACCAAATATTAAGAAGAACTATGAAGAAGTGAATTTTCACCATGCTTTGAAAACCGAAGCCTTATTCGCCAATGGGTAGATAAACCTGTTTCTTTCCTTCTCTAGAATCAATCCCATATTTATGAGATCGTCGTTCTTGGCTATCATCTCTTGGATGAAACTCCATAATCGTCTAATGTTGTTGATGTTACTTAATATCTCCACCTACATCAATTCATCGATTCCCCGTAAATATGCTATACCCGGATCCCAAATCCGTTGATCAAAACACCATATAATTCGTAGGAATCTTTGATATCGGGCATCACAAAGGATCAAAACATCCTTCACGGAGATAACAGATTCGTCATGAGTGAAATTAGCGCATCGACACATTGCAGTGATGAACCATTATTTTCTAAGAATATTACTTATTAAGAATATTAAACATTAAAAAAAATATCAACATAAAACCCCAAATAATAGGGGACGATTAAACTATTAGCCAAGAAGAAGCAAAGAAATGAAATACCTATTTTTTACTTGTCATAACTTTATTCCTTCTTGTATCTCTAAAGGTTTATTTTACTGATTACATTGGTGCAGCTTAATAAAGTAAAGTTTGATTTAAAAAAATAGAGACGATTAAACTATAAAGTATACTAGATGAGGCTCCATGTTGTTGCGGATTATTCAAGATAATAAAAACAGAGGTAAATGTATAGTTGAGAAAAATATATTAATATATTTTAATTTACGTAATCCAGCATTTATATAATGACTGTAAGTCTTAACTAATTATAAGGATTTTTAATTTAAAATAATTTTAAGGATATAATCATATTAAAATTTTGTTTTTATTATAGTAACACATTTTATGGCCAAGTGTTTTTAAAGATCAAATTGGTTGTGTTAATTCAATAAGAAACTATCAATTAAATTAAAATAACCAAATTCCAAATGGAGAAGTGTTTAAATCAATGAAAATAGTACATCTAGTTTTTATTTTTGAAATTAATATTTATGTTATTAAAAATAATAATTAGAAATTTAAACTATTAAATGCTAATGACATCGAGTGCAATTATACAAAGGTTGTTTTCACTTCTATTTCTCAACTAATTAATACATTGAAGATGTCGAAAAACTGATTGAATTTTCAGTAAAAAGAACTCTCAAACGTCTTAATTTTTTTCTAATCGACCCGTAAGCCATAACGAATATCACACTTTGTCCTTGTAATAACTAACACGAAAATAACAGCTCACTCACTAATCACTATTTAAAGAAAAACTCCCTTACGCTACGTCAACCTACAGACTATTATATCGTGTTTTTTAGAGGATAATAATAATACTAATAAAATTCTTGTATATGTTAGGTATCTTAATATATATTAAAAATTCATAAATTTTTAATTTATATGTTATTTTATTACTTTTATCATATATGTATTGTGAATAAATAATTAGAAAAATATATATGGTTGAAGTGGAAAACATTAGTGGAAGCTTATCCGACTTCTAAATCAATAAAAAAAAAAAAGACTATGGAACTTGGTTGAACACTATAAAAAATTTGGATTTCATTACGTTGTGGAGATGTTTTCTTTTTTCAATTTAAATCATCAATTGAATTCACAACCGTTGATTCAATTTCAACACATTATAATTAATACGTATTAATATAACTTAGGCTGATTAGCCGAATTTATGCGTCACTTATTATTCTACTATAATTTACATCTGTTATTTTTTTTTTTGAATGATTAGAATTTCTAGACCTACATCTGCACATTTTTTAGATTAGAGACCAAATGTTTTATATAAATCTTTTTTAAATATCATCCGAATCAAGGAGATTTTTTCTAAAATCTTTACCAATTAAGCTATTGACAATGGATATTTATTAATTATTACTACCGGTTGACAAAAAAGAAGAAAGAATGCATGAGAGCCAATAATTAGACCACCGGCTCTGACTACACCAAGAAAAGTATCTCGTCTAAATTGCTTTTAACCGACCTTTTGGTTTTGATATCCGGACAACTTCCTCATACTCTACCAAATACTAAAAGCTTGAAAAGTCAACCAAATAATAAAGTAACGTGGAAAATATGAAATTCGTTGCAAAGATTACGTGATCTCTCTACGAAGATAATTTTCTTTTTCTTTGGACCAATGACACCAAATATTTTCCTTTTACTTTTTTTTGTCGGCACTCTATATTTTATTCAAATGGAATTTAAAGACTAGACATCACATTAGTAGTGATTTTAATTTAACTAAATTTGATAAACTTAATGAATGGAGTATACTATAAATGTTAGCCTAGGTGAAGAAACATTGCAAACAAGATACCTAACTGAAACAAAAAATGAGAGGAGCCATAAACAAATTTGATACATGCGTGGAGATATTCAATCCAAGTCCAAATACATGAATGCTAGCTAAAAATGTAATAAAAAGTAACAATATAAAACTACAAAAACAGTATTAAATCGCAGTAAAATATGACATTTTTATCAAGGACATAACTAAAAATATATAACATTTTTTCTATACAATATCTAATGGATATCTAAAATATTATGATTTCTTTCTAAACTTTTATATAAAACACTGGTCTAAATAGATAAATTCCTACTATCTATTTCTCTGTTGGATCTTTGTTCTCGGATATTGTATCCATTCTCAAAAAAAAAATCATTTATTTTTCTTTCTCGACAAAAAGAACCTTTTTTTATCTTATGATAAAAATGAAAGACTATCATAAAGAGACGTGATAAAAAGAAAATAGAGCGTGTGTGTACGCGTGGGTATCTACTCTCTATAGAAACTTAGAAAATTAGGAAGAATCATACAACTTGAAGTAGAATAGTCTCAAAGAGCCATGGTTGACTGAACCATCGCCATTCTTTATCCTTTTCTTTATTTTCTACATTAATCATTAATTCATTCATTATATATACTTCTCTCTAATTTCTTAATCATCTCCTTATAGTTTTTTTTTTCTTCTTAAAAGTCTTCTTCTTATAGTTTACATGGCAACCGTTGATGTCATCAACGGTGATTCAATCTCAACTCTTCATTCTGATATCATCCAAACCCAAATCTTGACCCGACTCGATGGTCCGACGTTAGCCTCCACTGCAACAACCTCTTCTTATCTCCAAACTCTTTGCACGGAAGAGAAACTCTGGCAAGAACTCTCCATCGCCACGTGGCCTGCGATCAATGATTCACGTGTTGCCCAAGCCATTTCCTCTTTCCCTTCCGGTTACCGTTCTTTTTTTGCTGACTCGTACCCGTTCACTGAACACACGTGGCAGTCCGAAAAACATGATCCACCGACGGGATTAATCTCAGCCGTTGATTTATACTATAGAGGAGAGATTATCTACTCGAAGATACAAGAGATGGAAACAGAGAAAGGTAAATCAGGATGGTTCTTGTCATCGCCTTTTCGGGTCGATATACTCGACCCGAAAGAGTCGGTTCAGACCCGGATTCGATATCCGGGTGGGGATTATGAAGCGTGGGTGAAAGATATGGAAGAGAGCATGAAACTTAACTGGATATTAATCGATCCGATCAAGAAACGGGCAGCGAATATATCAAGTCGAAAGGCGGTGTCGGCGAGGCGGAATTGGCTAACGGGAGATTTAGAAATAAGGTTTTCAACTATAGTGACGGCGGCGGCGGCGGAAGTGGCGGCGGTTGTGTCATGCGGGTCAGCGGAAGCGTGGAAAGAGGTGGATGAGGAAGTGGGAGGAGAAATACACGTGAGAGACGTGAGGCTACAAGTTGAGGACATAGAAGGAAAATGTATGAAAGGGAGGGATAGTTTGGTAATTTTACAAGGGTTGTTAGAGGGAAAGAGATCGTGTAAAGATGATGAAGAGAGAAGAGCTAAAGAAAGGTATGAAGAATACGTGCGAATGAAGATACAATGGAGAGAGAATAAAGAGAGGAAAGAAAAAGCTCAAGACACAATTTGTATGATCTTTGGGTTCTCTTTGTTTGTGCTTTTGTGGAGTTTTATTTTGTTACGGTAAATAACTAAAGAAAAGTACAAAAATACTTTAAGTGATCCAATAATACATACATTTCTTTGTTATCTTTTTTTTTCGCTCTTTGAATTTGTAATAAAGAAAATTGTTGAGAAATATATACAGAGATATTTGGTTACAGTTACAGAAGCATGACGTAATACTGAAATTTTTGTTTTTGTTTTTTTCTTTACGATAGAGAAATTTTGTAAATATAGTCGTTAGAATGTCATTTTTTGACGTAGCACCTAATCTGAAAACGAAATTGATAACCGGGCCTTGTGGCCTAGTGGTAAAGGGGTCACAGCTGTGACTTCCGCTACCAGGGTTCGAGGCACGGCCACTGGCAGGTTTACATAGGGGAATTGCCAGCCTCGTGAGATTAGTCATTGGGCCTAGGAAGCCTTTGGGAGACCCGCGGTTATTCAAAAAAAAAAAAAAAAAAAACCAAATTGATTAAAGAAATAAATTGCGGTCGGAAATTAGCCAGTGAAGGAATTTGGCGGCCAAAGAAGATTTTTGGTGGTTATGGAAATATTTTGTTGTTTTTTCTTATTATATAGTAGATTAAATTATTTGTTTCTTTTTGTCGTGAACTCGTTTTTGGGCTTAGGCCCAATTTAGTTTATGTTTAGGGCTAGGAATATATATAAATTGGGAGAAGAAAAAATATCAATTTATCGTGAACTCGTCATCAGTTTAGTTGAATAATTGGGAGAAGAAAAAACACAAATCAATTTATGTTCTTCGTTATCCGCCGCAAACTTCATGGTTCGTTCTTCTGTGAGTAGAGTGCCGGCCCTGAGCACAGCCACTTAAAGCAATGGTTTGGGGCCCCTAAAATTTTTGTTGCAAAATTAGGCCCCCAAAACTATTTTATGTTGCAAAAAGAGACCCCATTTTCTTACAATTTTAAGATTTGATATTAGTTTTTAAAATATATCTAAAAAACCCAACATTTTTTTTTCCTTTTTGCTGGGCCTCATATTGTTCAGGGCCGGCCCTCGCACGGGACGCCACTACTGAACTACAAACAAGCTCGGCAGAAGCAGGAGAAGCGGGCTAGTCCCCGAAAATGCCTGTTAATCAGTAAATGAAGTACTTTTCTTCTTGATCCCACCGTGCTATTATTTTGTATTCTTGATGTGAAAAAGTGAATGAAATCATATGAGTTTAAGATTTTGTTAGTTGATTCATCATCAATCCCTAGTGGCACGATTGATAGAGCTTTGGTATTGGTTAAATTAATTATAGTGAATAGATTCTAAGAACCTGCACTACAAGAAAATTGTGATATTGCAACATAGAAAATTATTGCAATAAATATATATATCGTTGCGAATAATAGAATTGCAACAAAATTACGACCAACTGCATCTCGTTGCTGATTGAGCGTTGCAAATTCGTGTTCGTCGCACATACGTTACAAAATTTGCAATGAATTAATTTCTCGCTAAATATGTTGTATTAATGCAACGACATTTTTGTAATAAATTGGTCGTAAAATTACAACGTATGTTTGCAACTTTGAATTGTCGTAAATCATTGCCATGGAAAACGTATAGCAAATAACCGTAGCAAATTTGTGATAACTAATTTGCTAGATACTTTCGTTGCATAAATTTTGTTACGATGACCAAAACAAAATTCATCGTAAGTATTGTCACATACAACTAATATTTAGCATTGTTATGACAATGTATGGTCACAGTTCTTTTGTGAATCACTTGATCGACATATATTTTCATTAATTTTGTTACATTTTCTATCTCACACATGAATTATTACAAATTTATAATAATAAATCAATATAAATTTCTGTAATTAAAAAAACTACAATAACACAAGTTTGAGTAATAAAATAAAATAAATAAATGAGTAGCAACATCCAACAGATTATAAATACCAAAATACTTAAAAAACTCAAAAGATAAATAGAAACCAAAATAAAATAATAAAAGAAATATATCGTTAAAAGAAAACTAATGATCTCCATCATATCCAATACTTCAAGTTTTGTGATCGTTCCTTACTTCCTTGATTTCTGCAATATTTTGAAAGATCTTCTCCAACCAATGGATCGTTAAATGTCATATGATTCATCTGATTTTTTTTTACTAAAAGAAAAGAGTTAACACTAAACTAAAGGAAACTCATACAACATTATAAATAAAACACATCCAAAATCTAAATCAAATGATCAGTAGGTATTGCTTTTGTCACCTTAGTTATGGAAAGAGAGGGTACACAATAATGATGAACTAAGAAATGCATCTGATCAATCTCCAATGTCCATATGGTTCACTTTTCCAGCTTTTCCCACTTCCATTAGTCAAATTCTCTCCACCGATGCCATATAAACAATAAAACGACCAAACAATTAAAGGATAAATCGCCAATCCAATACACAACAAACTTTATAAACTTTTAATAAGAATCATTATCAATATTCTGACAATGAAAACTACCGGAAAATGAGAAAGGGTGTTGGAGAAAGTGGTTCAAAAAAGCAAATAGGTTATGACATCGATCGGAGGATACGCCGTTCTTGAGTATCTTGCCGCCGTTCATGGTGGTGTCTTATACCTAACAATAACTATGTCTTATTCTAACTAAGAAGTCTAATCTACGGAAGCTTAATTTTTTGTTGAGCTAGCTACTAGCTAGTGTAGGAAACTCAAGCTTTTATCTTAGCTTCGATGAATTTGATGGCTTAGAAAGTTGTTAAGATACCATTACCTAATCATAAGATTTTAAGATCTTATTTTCTAAGTAAAATGGAAAAAGGCATATACATATATATAACAATAAAACGATATAATATCTAATTTGTTAAAAGAATCATATCCCAAAATCTGGAGTTATACAATGATTTGACGTCAATGAAAAAAAAATACCAAATTATCACATCTTTGAGCTCATTGACCCCAAAAATTAACTGAATCACCTATAGTTTAATTATGTTTTGCTATTAAGTGAGCTACAAAGATTCGATAATGTAGTTTCAAAGTTTGTGTATAAAGTAAATGTTGCAAAAGTGTTACTTAAATGATTGCAAATATAGTTACAAATCATGTGTCACATACTTGTACTATAATTTTCTTGCAAAAAAACAATGAATCACTATCGTTAGATGTTTCTCGTAAAATTTGCAAGAAAGTTTATACACGTTGTAAAAAAATTGCAAATTAGTAACGAAAATTTCCTACAAAAATATGTGTCGTAATTTTACAATGAATTTACAATAAAATTGTGACATGTATTTATCATTGCAAAAGTATTGCAAAATTTATTGCAGAATATTAACGAAAAAGAACGTTACAAAAAATATGTTGCAAAATCACTATTTTCTTGTAGTGCTGATATCTGATTTGTTTCTATAATTCGATTAACCACTTGGTTCATGAATCTATATGTTTTTTTTTATCGTGTTTCGGATGTAAGTATTTGTATGTATGAGTGGGATTTTTATATTTGATATATATGTTTCTGTGTGTTGACTGTTGACTTCACCCACTTATGATCCACTAATTTATTTGGTTACGAGTCTTCTATTGTGTTAATCTAATATACCCATTTCAGTATTCTGCTGTTTCGGAGTCGTTATATATTAATTATTTGGAACTCAATTTTCGACTTTTTGTGCTACTTATCCAGTTTTCTCTCGTTAATAAGGTTGCACAGAATGCTTGATTCAATATACATTCGTGATTTGAATTCTATAACGATTCATAATTTAATTTCGTGTACATCATTCTTAGTTTGCGTTTCATGTTTTTTTCTGAGAATCATCTTTATTGTATAACATTTTTATTTCATAAATTTTACATTCTAACATTTTGATAAAATCTTATTTTACATTCTAAAACAAAAACAACCCTATTGACATTGTTCATTTGAGCTTGACTGCATTTTTATATTTTGTTGATTCGATACTATAATCAGAATAGCACTTGTAGTGGTTGTTTTATATCAAGTTTTTATCGTTGCCGGAAATTAATACATTTAACAAAATATATTAGTCCCTGGCAACGGCGCCAAAAACATGATATATTAATCTTTTAATCCACAACAATCACAGCAAGTACAACAAAGCTAATCAATGAAACTATTCATACATAATTGAAGAAACAACAAAACAAATCAATGAAGGCAATTATATAATTACATTAAAGAATAAAAACTAGGGTTCATAAATCTTTTCAAAAGATGTAGAATTAGAAATTGTCTCCTCGAAACTTGCAGAAATCCAAAGTAAAAAGTCTGAAAATAAAATAAAGCAGTGGCTAAACAAGTATCAAGCGTAAATATTTATAATTTTAGGGGTAATATTACAAACTAACCATAGAATATAAAAGAATTAAGAGAATAGCCTTGTGTCAGAAAACATAGGTAAATAACCTTTTGTGGACTGGGGTAAATACTAAAATATCCCTCTATTTTCTTATTTTTACAACAATGTCGGTGGTAGTAGTTATAAAGTTTTTAATGATTGTGTACAACTCCTGTTAAACAAATCATGTGTTTCTCTGAAATAACACGATCTATTTACTAAAAGCATGCAATTCTCTTATATAACACCAAGTATTATATAACATATGTAATTGTTACAAACATTTATGGGTTTTTGTTGGATAGCTTGCCAAATATTTATATACTAGATCATGACCCGTGCTATACAGCACGGGATTTAATATTTTTCATGAATTAAATTGTATATTTTGTTCGAAGAAATAAGAAATAATATAGTATAATAATATAATATAAAAGGGAATATATCATAATATTTTATATTTATTACTATTTGAATATAATGTTATATATTTTATTTGACTAAAGAAGAAGAGAATATTGTATTTTAGAATTTAATATATTTAGCAGCATTATATTTGTATTTTTTATATGAGATTAACAATTTATTTGGTTCAATTAGGTATTGATAATTTTATTGTGTGATTGTGAATAAACAAAAAAATAGTTGTATTGGGTCTAAGTTTTTTAATGGATTATATTGAGTTTATGGGGCCCAGTTTCATGGTTTAAAAAAAAAAGAAAAAAAAACGGTTTAACATACCTTTGGAATTTGCTGATGTGTTCCTTTTTGATGTCTACTTGAATTTTGTTACCTTGTAATTAAAATAAGAGGACTTAAAACTTACGGCACATATATTACAAAGAGAATTGTATAAAATTTCAATGGTACTTACAGCCTCATCTGTCAAAATCATTTCCAAAGACATGCCAGAACCTTTTGTAAAATGAATCCACGAATGAAGTGTACTAACTTTAATACACCAAAAAGTCTTGACAGGCTTCAAGTTGTTAATAGGAGTGTAGCGACTAACCATAGACATTTATGCTGTATTTTTAATTGTAGGATATGAGAATGGTGCTGAGATGATTTATGTGAGAAAGCTACGTCAAACCTAAATGGATATTTATAGTTGTAGATTGTTTGTGATAATTAGGAGATTCAGAAATATATTAATTAGCATAAAATAGTTAGATAATATTTTAGAAAGGTATATTCTAGATTATTTGGAATATAGGATCAAAATTATATAACAAAGAGATTTGACAATCTTTAGAAAAGATTTTAAGGAAACTGAATAGCTGATTATATTGATGCGTGATTAACCTAAACAAAAAACGTAAAACCAAACAAAAAAACGATCTAGAATATAACAACTATTATAACTTATTTTTTTTTATAAAGGGTTTTAAGGAAATTGAATATATTCTCAAAGATTTTAGGGAAACTGAATATATTCTCAATGATTACGAATTGCTTGAAAACGAATTTATATCTAAACAAAATATAACAACCTAATATCTTTAAGATCTTTAAACCCGTTTTTCGTTATTTGACCCGTTTTTTAATTAATTTGTTAATGTTAGTGACATGAAATTTAAATGATTATGATTATAGATCTCTAATGGCATATATTATAATTTCTTACAAAATTAACGTTACGACTTAAGGATGTACCTTCCAAATAATAGTATAGGATATAACATTTTGAATAACATTTTCAATAACATTTTTGAACTATATGAGTATTATAATTCAAAATAGCATTTTTTATAAATTGGATTGATATAAAATGTTTTCAATGATGTATCATTTTCATTAACATTTTCAATAACATTTTTTTATAACATGTTCGAATAATGGATTACTATATAACATTTTGAATAATATTTTCAATAACATTTCCGAATAATATATTAGTATATTAGTATAGAATTTTTAATAATTGTGTTACATTTTCGAATTGATTAGTATATAACATTCTCGAATTATATTAATTATGTATTATATAAACAAAATCTTTTAATATCTTTAAACCCGTTTGACCCGTTAATATATATTAGTGAAATGGAATAAAATGATTATAATTAGAAATCTCTAATGGCATATATTGTAATTTCTTACAAAATCTAAGTTATGACTCTTAGGATGTACTTCCCAAATATTAGTATAGATCAGTGTTAATAGCATGTTTTGTCCTTAAAATACATGTGTTTTAAAATCATATCTAAGAGTCTCTAGGAAAAATCAGACATGTGTTTTAAAAATCAGACATGCTTAGAGGACATACAAAGCTTAGAGGAGTAGTTTAGAGAAAATTACACGGAAACAAATTTGAATATACAATTTAGTATATGATTTTATTGATTTTACTATATAGATTTTTTTTTTTGGTAGGAGATTTTACTATATATACACTACAAGAGATTTTGTTGGAATTGAACCTTTGATTAAATCTGAAAAATAGAAGCTTCAGTGAGAACAAGAAGAAGAAGAAAAAGAACAGAGCACAAGAAGCAAAGCTTGTGATTGAAGGAAGAAGAAGATGTCGTGAAGAGAAGAAGTCAACCACAAAGAGGAAAGTCAACAAAAAGGAGAGGAGTTGGACTTGAAGGGTTTTGTCTTTAAAAGACCAATGGGCTGCGAGTAACAAGGCCCAAATAAGGTTGTGTGTTTTGTTAGTATTAAGTGTAGACCAAGTAGCTAAGTAGAGTTGTTGTGTAAGAGTTGTTAGAGTTCCAACACAAGTAGGAGACTTGTGTAAGAGTACCTAGAACCTAGAAGTATGGTCTAGTGTTAGAGTCATGATTGTGTCTAGAGTAGCAAGTGGAGATAAACCACTATATGTATGTGGGTTGTATGTTGTGTAAGATTTATCTAAAAGATCCTAAAGAAAAATGTAGTCTCTTGTGCCTATCTCTCTAATGTTTTACGGTTTGTGTTAAGCAAAGAACAAGACACAAATGAGAGTGAACTAGAGAGATGTAAGGCGGAGACAGAGTGATAAGAGAGATAGAAAGCTAACCTTGATGTGAAAGTGAAAAATCCAACAGATTTGTTGTTTAACGTCTTTTTTACTAACGTCACTTATTGAAGTGACGTGAAGATCAGAAGAGAGAAGGGATTTAGCGTCGTTTATCTAACCGACGTAATAAACCGACGATAATTAAATTAATCCAATTTTTAGGTTGAGCTCTTTCTCTGCAAATAAAATTCTCAATTCTCCTTCTACATGATACGAAGTCGTCTCTCTCAACATCGAAATCACAGAGCTCAAATTCTGCTTCTCCAATTGTTTTGAGAATCGCGCATCTCTTGTTTTGGTTTCAGTTCTGCGATTTTAGGTTTTTCTTCTTCATCAATGGAGGTTATCTTCTCGAAATGCTCAGGAAGTTTTATACGGCATAATTTTCTTTGAATTTCTGTGTATTAACAACACAATTCGATTCTAACACTGATTTACAAATTTCGTTGAAGGATATAGGCGTAGATCAAGATCACTCTATCTCTTCGTCGCAAGTTCGATCTTCATCGCCGCAGGTTCAAAATTTGTGTTTATGGAAAACTTTTTCGTGATTTTGTTGCTTCTCAGTTATGGGAATTGTCTTGGTCTTGTTACTGTTTAGAGGATTGGGCGTTAGATCAAGCTATTCGAAGAAAATTTTGAGTGATTTTGGCTAGCTTTAGTGATTGAAACTGCATAGTATGTTTGAGAACTGGATCATGAGTTTCTACTTGCTGAATTTCGTCATATTGCTATGCTTATGAATTAGAGAAATGATTCGTGAAGAAATTCGAGGAAGAAGTATCACTTATTAGCGGTGGTGAAACCCAAATTTCAGAGAAATTTAAGGTAAATCTTCTACTGGATCTAAGTTTACTTCCATCTCTGTAACAAGTTTCAATAAACGAAGTTTAACAAGTGTGCTCGCCTCTGTTGAATTGGTAAGAGGAGAATTCTGAGTGTATTGTCTTGTTTTATTAATGAAACAGAGGACTTCCTAGCCAAAGCTTGTCTCATAGATTAATTGTCTCCTAGAATCTTCATGATACCAGCTGCACTTGGAGAACACTTAAGAACTTGAATTACTTGTGAGTGATCCTTTAAAGTTTCACATTGATTCTTTTGTTGCATATTTATAATATTTCAATTCAATTCTCATTGTTTCACTGTCCCGATCTTGTTAAAGATTTTTAATGTGCAATGACTTTTCATATAACATTTGGTATCTCTAGTTGACGGAACCTACAAAGATCTTATTGATCCGAACGTAATTAATTGATTTTTCTCTGCTATTGGTACTTTGCCACTCTTCTTCTTGTATGGGATGATACTTTTGGTTATTTGATAGTTCTCTTCCTTGTAGAGTGGGAACTTTTGGTCTATAGGAGAAGAAAAGTCCTAAACAATGCTTCAAAGGTTGCTCTGGTTCTCATAGTCCAAGGTACGTTCTTACTACCTTATAAATGGGATCAGAATCAAGCTTTCCTTTTAAACTACAGTCTCCTTAGTTTCTAATATTTGTGTTCTTTAATCACAGTTTATATGTATGTATGTTCAATGTTTCTTGTAGTTTTAACGCATCTGATATAGAATGCATAATAATTTGCAAAACTCACTTATTGTGTTTATGCTCAATTCTCTGTTCATTTTAGACAAAAGAATTTTTGACATGTGAGTGAAGTTAGTGGGAATTCATTCAATCATCAAGCAATTCCATGATCTGGTGAATAATTATATATTGCATTTTCTTGCATTATATTCTTACACAAATATTATAGTTTATGTAAATGTTTTCATATTTCAGGCAAGGATTTCAGTAGCGGAAGTTTAAAGTTTGAAGATTTTAATATGTTCGCAATATTGTGGATTGTCTACTGTTGTATATTACAAGACAGATTATATATGTTTGATGTAAACGTATTATTATTTGATTAATATAATTTTTTGTGGTCCTATTGTTTCAAAGTTGTAGTTAAATATTTATTTATATCTGATACATAATTATTAAAATAATGGTCAATAAAAAAATGGAATTTACTGTACCAAGCAAACCGACGTAAACATAGAGTTAAAGCTAACGTCATTTTAAAAATTGAAGTAAGAAACCGACGGAAGTTTTAGACGTTAAAGTTAGCGTCATTTTTAGAACCGAAGTAAAAAATGTTAGCGTCATCCCTTATTACGACGGTTTGAAAACTGACATTATAATATTTACGTCACTTATAAGCCGACGTTAGGCTTGATAATAGCCGACGTTAAACCCCTTCTTTGTTGTAGTATAGATGAATACAATTATACAACAATACTTAAAACGTTAAATGATGACGTAAACTAATAAAGTAGATTAGAAATTTCAGTGGCAAAAATATAAATTATTTAATGAAATAGATATTCATAAAAAAAAATTGTGTTACACAGAAAGAAATATCTTGGCGCATGATATTTAAATAACAGTACAAAGTGATTTATTTCATTTTGATTACTTACACCAAAAGAAAAAAGAAAAAAAAAACTTATTGGCATGCAGAGTACAACAAATACCGAGAAAGATATCTGAACACGTGTTTAAAAATGAAGAGACGATAAGAATCAATGAGAGACTTCAGTGCTGGGTTTGAGTTCTGTCCCAGATAGATACATCACCACGTCATCGTTTTTGTCCTTTACTATCTCATTACACTCTTCTGTTATTCGCCCAATTCTTACAGTCATCAGCCACGTCATCTCACTTTTCCCTTTGAAAGCCACCAAATATCAAAAAACACAAGACCTTTACCCGAAGCAAAGCAAAGTAGCTGCTTACTTGCCATATTTATAGCCATGTTTCTTCATCTAAAGCAAAGTATTTTCGAGTTCTTGAACCAAAAAGATCAAACAATGTCTAAAGAAGCTGAGATGTCGATCGCGGTGTCGGCTATGTTCCCTGGTTTTAGATTCTCTCCGACCGATGTGGAACTTATCTCGTACTATCTTCGTCGTAAAATCAATGGCGATGAGGACTCTGTTGCTGTGATTGCTGAGGTCGAGATTTACAAGTTCGAGCCGTGGGACTTGCCAGGTTTTTCTTCGGTTTTCTTTCTCTTTATGTTTACTTTGGTTCACTAATTTGAATTTTTGTGCCTATAAAACAGAGGAATCGAAACTGAAATCGGAGAACGAGTGGTTTTACTTCTGCGCGAGGGGGAGGAAGTACCCGCACGGGTCACAGAGCCGGCGAGCCACAAAACTTGGATATTGGAAAGCGACTGGTAAAGAGCGAACTGTTAAATCGGGGAACCAAGTTGTTGGAACCAAGAGAACACTTGTTTTTCATATCGGTCGGGCTCCTCGGGGCGAGAGAACCGAGTGGATTATGCATGAATACTGCATCCATGGCGCCCCACAGGTTCTTCAAATTTTGATTTTAAATTTTGAATTTGAATCAAGGAGTTATTTTTTGATTAATGTGTGGTTGACAAAAAAAAAATAAAAAAATTTGAGTTTGAATGTTTTGAGATGTAATGATATTTGGATTTCACAGGATGCATTAGTGGTGTGCCGGTTAAGAAAAAATGCTGATTTTCGGGCTAGTTCGAGTCAAAAGCAAATGGAGGATGGTGTTGTGCAAGACGATGGCTATGTTGGCCAAAGCGGTGGTACGGAAAAGAAGGAGAAATCGAATTCTGTTTATGATCAGCTACCAAATGGTGACATCGCAGAATCATCAAATGTTGTTGAGGTCAGCTTGCTTTTGAGGAATGTGTCTTTTAACGATGTTTAATGCTGGTAAACTGATCCGCTCCAATCTTAATCGAACTTAGATATCTTACCCGTAAACCAAATCAAATTCAAGATAGTTAAACACTGGACTCACCTTCTCTTTATACGAAAAACAGAACCGAGTACTATAAACAGATTCATACTTCATTAGATTTTACTTCAGTTACTATTATCCTAAAGCAGATTCGAAACTTAAAACGTAACAAACCAAGATATCATATGTTTGGTTCTTATTTTGGTTACTAATATTATAAATCTATAGACCCGAACCAATACTTGAGCTGAACGTACCTAGTTTTCTTCTATTGTTAAGAGTTTAAAGTTCGTAACTGAAGTTGATATATATCTTTCTTTTGAGATGCAGGAGCAGGCCGATACCGATGATGATTGTTACGCCGAGATTCTAAACGATGATATAATAAAGCTCGATGAAGAAGCATTGAAAGCTAGCCAAGCGTTTCGACCAACTAATCCTACTCATCAAGAAACAATATCCAGCGAGTCATCGAGTAAGAGGTCTAAATGTGGTATAAAAAAGGAATCAACGGAAACAATGAATTCTTACGCTTTGTTCAGGATAAAGAACGTTGCCGGAACCGACTCTAGCTGGAGATTCCCGAACCCGTTCAACATCAAGAAAGATTATAGCCAGATATTGATGAAGAATGTTCTGGCCACTACTGTTTTCTTGGCTATCTTATTTTCTTTCTTTGGGACTGTATTAATTGCTAGGAACTATAGTTAGTTACGACATACATGTCATGTCATGTCCTGTTCTGAGTTCTGTCTGACGCACACTTATTACTACTTGGTACTATGAAATACTAATATATTGATAGAGTAATTCCACGTGTTTTGTATGTTTGTAAATATATTTCTATACACGCATAAAACAAATGGTCTTCGGCTGAAGAGTGATTCTTAGTGCAATATGGATTACGCGAAATAATGAATCACACTGCGTTTGTTCTTCTCAAGTCTCCTAGTATTCTGTATAAATTGCTAGAATGTATAGGGACTTATAAGTAGTTGAAGTTTGATTACTTTATTTTTTTTTTCTCGTTGGAGTTTCGTTATGTTATTCATAAATTATTTTGCAATTTGCATAAATAAAAGATGAAACTTGGTAAATTGGTCGATTTCTTCATATATCTAGAATGTTTGTAGAAAAGTCGTAAGGACTAGCAAAAATGTTTTTGTCTATATAGACAGTTGGCTTACATAGTAAGAAAGGGTGTATACATCAATGAACAGTCAATTTTGGAAAATTCTAGCAAATGTGGTTAGGACCCATAAATTTAGTTCGCTTACTTTTCTTGAAGTTGCATCACCACCACATGATATGTGAATTTTTCATTTGAGTCATCCCTTGTTTCCTATCCAGCAAAAATATGAGAAGCATGAAACTGTTTCTTTTAGTTTCTTTCAATACTTTCATGTTACTTGAAGCATATGGTTTTACCGATGAAACTGATCGGCAAGCGTTGTTCGATTTTAAGTCTCAAGTTTCTGAAGACAAAAGAGTTGTATTGTCCTCATGGAATAACTCATTCCCTCTTTGCAATTGGAATGGAGTTACATGTGGCCACAAACACAAGAGAGTTACTCGCCTAGACCTCGGAGGATTGCAATTAGGCGGAGTGATATCACCATCTATTGGTAATCTTTCATTTCTTATATCACTTAATCTCACAGAAAACTCTTTTGTTGGTACCATTCCTCACGAGGTGGGAAACTTGTTTAGACTTCAACACTTGAATATGAGCTTTAATTTTCTCGAGGGAGAGATTCCAGCAAGTCTTTCTAACTGCTCTAGATTATTGAACCTTGGTTTATATTCAAATCATCTTGGAGGAAGTGTTCCTTCAGAGCTAGGATCATTGACGAAGCTTGTTGGTTTATATCTTGGTCAAAACAACCTAAATGGAAAGATCCCTTCGTCTCTAGGAAATTTGACGTCACTCATATTTCTTGGTTTGGCAAATAACAACATAGAAGGAGGAATTCCAGAAGGTTTAGCTAGATTGAGTCAAATAGTTGATCTTGAATTATCAATGAACAATTTCTCTGGTGTTTTCCCTCATGCTATCTACAATTTGTCTTCACTTGAATATTTATCCATCTCTGCTAATAGTTTCTTCGGTAGCCTGAGGCCTGATTTTGGTAATCTATTACCAAATATTAGAACGTTATATTTGGAAGGTAATCATTTCACAGGAGCTATTCCAGAAACACTTTCCAATATCTCAAATCTTCAAGTGGTTGCAATGGAATATAACAATCTAATGGGAAGTATTCCTTTAAGCTTTGGAAAAGTACGGAATTTACAACTCCTTGAACTTTATGGTAATTTTTTGGGAAGTTATTCTTCTGGAGATCTTGAATTTCTTGGTTCTTTGACTAACTGCACCCATCTACAGACTTTGAGTGTTGGTGAAAATAGGTTGGGAGGTGATTTACCTACCTCCATTGCCAATCTGTCCACAAACCTCATCCATTTAAGCCTTGGAAAAAATCACATCTCTGGAAGCATTCCTAATGATATTGGGAATCTCATAAGCCTACAAACATTTCAGTTGGAGAAAAATATGTTGGTTGGACCACTCCCAACCTCTCTTGGTAAGCTATCAAACTTGGGGATATTAAGTCTCTATTCGAATAGAATGTCAGGAGAGATACCATTTTCGCTAGGAAATATCACTCGGTTAGAAAAACTATATCTGTCCAGCAATAGTTTTAATGGAATTATTCCTCCGAGTCTTGGAAATTGTGATTACCTTCTACGTTTATATATGGGATCTAATAAGTTGAATGGAACCATACCTCGGGAAATTATGCAGATTAAGACCCTTGTTAACCTAGGATTGTCAGATAATTCATTGACTGGCTCTTTACCAAATGGTGTTGGAGGACTAGAACTTCTGGTTACACTAACCGTTGCGCATAATAAATTATCTGGAAAACTCCCACAAACCTTGGGGAAATGTCTCTCATTGGAAAAACTTTATCTACAAGGAAATTCTTTTGATGGAGATATTCCAGATATAAGAGGTTTGGTGGGTATTCAAAGAGTAGATTTGTCAAACAATAATCTTTCTGGAAGTATACCTGAATATCTTGCGAACATATCTTCGTTGGAGTATCTCAATCTATCTTTTAACAACTTTGAAGGGAGGGTGTCAACAGAAGGAAAATTTCAAAATGCTACTATAGTTTCAGTACTTGGGAACAAAGATTTATGTGGAGGTATCAAGGAACTGAAACTAAAGCTTTGCCATTCGAAAGCACCACCACTAGAGAAACAACATTCTTCTATTTTCAAGAAAGTTGTGATTGGGGTTAGCGTGGGCATAACTTTTCTTTTGCTCTTGTTGATAGCTTCGGTTTCTCTATGTTGGTTTAGAAAGAGAAAGAAGAACCAGAATTCCACTAATCCAACTCCTTCTACCTTAGAAGTCTTCCATGAGAAGATAAGTTATGGTGATCTTCGAAATGCGACAAATGGCTTCTCTTCAAGTAATTTGATTGGGTCAGGCAGTTTTGGTACTGTGTTTAAAGCATCCCTCCATGCAGAGAACAATGTGGTTGCAGTGAAAGTTCTAAACCTACAAAGACATGGAGCAATGAAAAGCTTTTTGGCAGAATGTGAATCCTTGAAAAGCATAAGGCATCGTAATCTTGTGAAACTATTGACAGCTTGCTCGAGTATTGATTTCCAAGGAAACGATTTTAGGGCTCTTATCTATGAGTTCATGCCAAATGGAAGTTTGGATATGTGGCTGCACCAAGACGAAGTGGAAGAGCTTCGTAGGCCATCAAGAAATTTGACGCTTCTTGAAAGGTTAAATGTAGCGATAGATGTGGCTTCTGTTTTAGACTATCTTCATGTTCATTGCCATGAACCTATAGTTCATTGCGATCTTAAGCCAAGTAACGTTCTCTTAGACGGTGATTTGACTGCACATGTTAGTGATTTTGGTATGGCTCAGCTTCTTCTCAAATTTGACAAAGAGTCCTTTCTCAACCAACTAAGCTCGGCCGGCGTTAGAGGAACTATCGGCTATGCTGCACCAGGTAAAACTATCACACATCTATAATGTTCTATTTAAAATATTTATGTTCATTAAAATATTGTCGTCGTTAAATTCTGGATTTATGGTGCAGAATATGGAATGGGAGGACAACCATCAATACATGGTGATGTGTATAGCTTCGGGGTTCTTCTTTTGGAAATGTTCACTGGAAAGAGACCTACCAATTTGTTATTTGAGGGAAACCTTACCATACACAGCTACACCAGGTCGGCGTTACCGCTAAGAGTGTTGGAGATAGTAGACAAATCGATTATTCGCAGCGGCCTAAGAATTGGCTTCCCTGTTACTGAGTGCTTGACACTTCTTTTGGAGGTGGGACTTAGGTGTTGTGAAGAATCTCCGACAAAACGGTTGACAACAAGTGAAATCACAAAGGACTTATTCTCAATACGAGAGAGGTTCTTTAAAGCTAGAAGAACAACCAGACATTGATGTGTACATACTTTGCAATACACTTTAAAAACTGAATTTGATGCTTATATAGTATCGTCTATGTACTCATTCATATACATATCACATATGCTTTAATTTAAATCAGTTTTTTTTTTTCGTTTCCACAGTTTGGGTTTCATTTTTTTTTTTTGGTTGTGTTTTTTTTTTTCATGGGTGATTAAGATGAGTTTTTTTTTTTTTTTTTTAAGTTATGCCTTTCTTATTTACATAGATTTATGAAAAAATTAATTTGTTTATCTTATTATCTTACCAAATTGTATCAAATATTACACTAGCCTAACTTAGGACCGAAGTAATTTATTAATATATAGTGATTAATAATTTATCGAATATTTAGTGTATTTTTTTTTGTTGGCCAATTTTATCATTAGATAAAAGAAACTTAGTACATCGTTTTAACCATACATCAGAGGATATATGAAACTATATAAGGAGAATTATTTGTTCTGGCTTGTTTTGCTAAGAAATCAGCGTGGACATTAGTTTGTCTACCAATGTGTTTGAAAGTATAGGAGCTTCACGCCAAGGCCAAAATGTCCTCCACATGTCCTTGAATGGCAACAAGTGGTCGTGGAAGGTGACTCCGACGACTTGGTGAACCGTGAACTCTCTAGATAGCGATAGATCTGCTTGGAATCTCCACAAAAAGTAACGTTGTCATAGCCCAGAATCTTCATTTGGAGAAGAGCTTCCCTTAGAGCTATGGCCTTTGTCTCTAATGGTGAATCTGTGGCTGCTATCGACGCTGATCCCTTGAGAATATGTTTACCTTGCCCATCATGTAAAACCTAGCCAATGCCTGCATTTTTATTTTCATCAAGCCATGAAGCATCTACACAACTGCATATATAAGGTTGATATTTGTGATAGAACTTGCTGTAGAGAGGATGGTGACTGAGTTCTTATATCTGCTCTGTCCTCTTTTTTGAACTCAACAGCTTCATTCCATAGTCTATAATCCACTATGGCTTGATGAATAATTTGAGGAATGGCCCATTGTTTACTTTTGAATATCAAATCGTACCTTGCTTTCCATATACGCCAACCAAGGAAGGGGAAGAAATTCTATTTTTTATGCTTAGGTGATTTGAAGGAAAGTAAAGCTTGAAGATATTCTATAAAATCATGGGCTGAAGTAAACTGACCTGAAGGTATGTCAATGGGGGCTAGTTCCCAAATCTCCTTTGCTACACGGACTGGAAAAGAAGATGTGTTAATGTTATAGTCTCTTTTTTTTTCTCCACAGAATGAGCATTGTGATATGATGTTTATGCGCTTACATCTGAGAGCTTCTGCAACAAGAAGAGCATTATATAATACATGAATATTTAGTGTATAAAATATTTAACTATCAAACAACTACTAGGAAAAATTCCTAATTTGTCTTCAAAAATCCTTTTTATTTATTTTATTTTAACTAGGAGATGGGCTCGAGCGTTACCGTATGGAGAAGTAAAATTCTAACAAAAAACAAAATGTTGTTCGAAACAAATGCTTCTGGTCAATAGAAGATAAAAATGGTGACTCTTGGAACCGTCTCTTCTAAAGATTAGACATCTAGCATAACTGTTTATAAAGTGTGAAGTTGAAAATATTGATAGAACTCACGCTAATTTCTCGCATGATGTTTGGAATCCTTTTAGTCCACTCATTAAATTTTTGCAATTGAAAGGACACTCTTTGTTTTCTTGAATTTTCGAGGAAATACCAGAATCCTAATTAATTGCGACTTTTGTCTTTAGGTATTTGTTCTCTAACTAACCATCAAAAAACTCATTAATTTGAATATGATACTATCATAGAAAAAAACTAACATCGTTTTTCCTGTTCAATTCCAAATACAATTAGTAGGGGAATTGGATAAGAACTAAGAAATGAGAACTATACATATCATCGTTCTACTACGGAAGGAGATGAGCTCTCAATTAACAACAAAATCTGTATGGTGGATAACTTGAATAAAAGACAAATTTAATATCTTTCTTCCTACGGTTGGATTTTTTTAATTTCGTACAAATATGATATCACACAGTTTCTATTTTAAATATGATATCACCTTGGCTGCGAAGCAGGGCCAGTCCGGTAAAATCCGAGGCCGAATACGAAAAAAAATTTGAGGCCTTTTTAATAAGTAAAAACTGCTAATTTTTTTTTTTTGTTTGCTAATTATGGGACATTTATAATTTTTATTTAACATTTTTTCTTAATTTTTGGACATTGTTTGCTAATTATAAGATTTTTACTATTTATGAGGCCTTCTTACTAATTATGAGGTTTTTTTTTGTTAATTTTGAGGTCTATTTTACTAATTTTGAGGCCTATTTTACTAATTGAGGGGGCTTAAAAAAAAAAAAAAAAACTCACAAAATGGGCCTCGGAAATTTGAGGCCAATACAAATGTTTCGTTAAAATCTGTCCAGGGCCGGGCCTGCTGCAAAGAGGTGAGAATGTGAGATGAAAGAATACACACACTGAAAAAAGAAAAGAACATGAATCTCAACGATTTGATTAAGTACTTTAATCTGAAGTATTGTTTTTTTCCCTTCTTTTTTTTAATATGTTGATGACGTCAACAAACCCAAAAAAGTGGACTTGCTATTATATATAGATACTTTGCAATGGAAATATCCTACAAATATGAAAGAAATATATTTCTAAAGCAAATATCAAGCAGTTTACCTGGTAGTCCAGTAACAGGCGATCTGGCTACCCCTGGCATTAGTCGGAAAGCATTCCAAACTCGGGACAGACAGTGTGGTGGCCCTTCGGGGAGAAGTCCACTCTGAAGCACTTCGGTGCGTTTCTACCGGGGCTGACCGGATCAACCGATAGGGTTTATCAAAAAAAAAAAAAAAAAAAAAATATCAAGTTGTTGAATATTACATCATAAGCCATTGATGTAAAGAACAAACAAAAAAATTCTTGAAGATAAAAAAAATGTCTAAACAATTAGATGTGAAATCGCACTTACTAATTCATGTAACTTAAAAACTTCTACAATATCAATTTTATTCAAAACAGATAAATTTAATTAATGGGAAATTGACAAAAATAGATATTTGGATTCGCGGCATCACCAGACCCTGGCAACTTGGCCTACATTTTAACCATACGTATGTTGTTGAGTGTGTCAAAACGAAAACAACCTCATCTTTACCGATAATTCACATCATAAGTATTTTAAAATTTCAAATGATTAACTTATCTCTGCAAGTTAAACTTAAGAAAATACCACTATTTCAATTTTAAACAGTCGAAATTGAAAAGGGCAAAATACATAAACCCACATTAGATAAAATGTTGAATTAAATATATTAATATATATATATATATATATTTGCTTTCTTTTTTTTTGGTGGCTGAAAAAAACAAATGGCGATGATGCTTCTGCAAATCCCTCCTTCTTCGTCTTCCTTGTTGAACACCACAAACCTTCAAATCCGATTCTTCAACTCTTCAATTCCAGCTTCTTCGAAGAAATTCAGATGCAGAGCCGTCCGTGAGAAAGCGGAGGAGATTGAGAAGAACACTTCGTCGCCGTCTCCTTCTTCCGCTGAAGAAGTTACCAAGAAATATGGCCTCGAAGTTGGTCTATGGAAGGTCTTTCTTTTTTCTCCATATTCGTTATTTATCTTCAGTTTCTGGTTTTTATTGGTTCGAAATTGGTTAAAGCAAAATTCGATTTTGCAATTTCTCGTGTTAATTCGTAATCTGAATGGTTTTAGTCCAAAATTGATTGTTGTAGAAGCTATGGAAGCTTTTGTGTATTAAAATGGTGTTTGTGAGTTAAATGATAGGCTAAAATGGTGTTTGTGAGTTAAATGATAGGCTAATTTAGAGCACTTTTGGTAGTTGTAGAAGCTATGGAAGCTTTTGTGTACTAAAATGGTGTTTGTGAGTTAAATGATAGGCTAATTTAGAGCAATTTTGGTAGTTGTAGAAGCTATGGAAGCTTTTGTGTACTAAAATAGATGAACTTGTGATTAGATATTGAGCTCTAAGGATGATGAAGGAAGTGATGGAGAGAATAAGAAGAAGAGATCAAAGACAGATGAGGCTAAAGAGTTGCTTGCTAAGTATGGTGGTGCTTATCTCGCTACATCTATTACTCTTTCCCTCATTTCCTTCTCACTCTGCTATGTCCTTGTTACTTCCGGTGTTGATGTTCAAGCTCTTCTTCTAAAGGTTACTACTTTCACTTCTTGGTCATACTAGGTTTATGTTTTCTTGATCTTGGATTGGGTAAAGCTGATTTTGATGTTTTGTGGTAAAGGTTGGGATTTCGACGAATGAGACGGGAGAGAAAGTAGGAGCCTTTGCTTTAGCTTACGCAGCGCATAAAGCTGCATCTCCGATAAGGTTTCCGCCTACGGTGGCTTTGACTCCTATTGTAGCCAGTTGGATTGGGAAGAAAGTGGACAAGGAGAAGGATGAGTAGTAGCTTATTTTGAAGGTATTATAATGTAGATGTTCTATATATTACTTGATAATCAACATACAGAATCCTATACAATCCTCGCTTCTCTACCTTGTATGTAAAAAGATTGAAGCATATCTGAATATGATGATGAGTTAGAAAGATACAGAACCCAAGTTGTGAGATAGTTTTAGACTTGTCTATCTAAGATCTGGTTGCTTGGAAATTACGACTTTACTGTTCACTTACTCTAGACATCTGGTAAGAGGAAGAAGTAGTTGTCAAATGGTTGGGAAGGATCTCTGTGATCCAGCATATGACCTGGATCGTTTTGGTGATGCATTTTAACTTGTGCTCTATTTGTGTCCATTTCTGTGTACATGGTGGAGCTTGTATTTTCTCGAATTGGTTCAAGATATGTAAGACCTTGACAAGGACCGGTGACATTATTCATGCAACAATTCTATGCAAAGTTGAGTAAGTGTAGTTTTTGGGAGATGTAGATTAGATTTCTCGGACATGTTGTTGACACTCCAGCTTCTGAGACAACATGTCCAAGAAAGATGATCTACCTCTACCAAAAACTTTACTTACTCAACTTTGCATATAGCTATTGTTCCCGCAGTTTATCCAGCACAACCCGCATGTGTCCCTCATGTTCCTTTCGACTCTTTGATTATATTAGAATGTCATCGATGAATACCATCACACGTTAATCAATGTATTTCCGAAAGACATTATTCATCAATTTCATGAACACATCCAAACGACATTACTACAAACTCGTAGCGTCTAGACCTATTCCGAAAAGTTTTCTTCCGTATATTTTCTTCTGCTATCAAAATTTGGTGGTACTCTTGCCAAATCAATCTTTGAGAACCACGCCGCTCCTTGCAGCTGGTCCAACAGTTCATCAACTCATGGCAGCGGATACTTATTCTTCTTGATAGTTACTTTATTCAATTTTCGGTAACCAATGCAAAGTTTTAAACTCTCGTCTTTCTTTTTTTTCACAAATAACACTGGAACCGCTCGGTCGGATGAACCCTCAACATGTAAGATCCTCTAATTGTTGATTCAATTATGCTCCTAAACGGTAAGGTGCTCGTGTTAGAGGTGACGTTCCTGGCTACAATTCTATAGTAAAAGCGTCCTTAAAAGACTCAAACACGTCCCCGTATGCTGCCACTTTTGGAATATCATCAACCCCCAATTTCATCTCATTCCCCCATTAAAGAAATGGTGGTGAGGAAAACAGTATTCTCATTCCCCCATTAGCTCCTTTACTTGAACATAGATATGATGAAAAGTCTCTCGCTCTTTTTTTCTTTCTTGCCTTGATTGCATTGTCTTGCTGCTCTCTAACTGTCTCTTTCCCCTTGTTAAATTTGTTTTCACACTTTTTGGTTGGTCTTTATTGTGAGCTACCTGAATCGGTCTGTTGTCGTTCTTTATTGAGTATAGTGTCACTGGTTTGGACTTGTTTCGTCCGCTATGGTTAGCTTTGCTCATTTGGGAGTAAGAGAGGTCTTTTAGCATTTTTTTCTTCATTAACGAACTTGTTTATCGTCTTTGTTTATCTTTCCGTCTTTTGTGGATTATCTCTATCCTCTTTACTAGCATTCATGTAATTTAAGGTTTTTCCTTCTTCTTTTCTGGGTTTTGTTTTCGGGATATCCCGTTATTCTATTGCCTTCTGTAATTCCATCATACATTCTGGAATAGCAGTGAACTGTAAATAACACATAGGAGGGAAAAAGAGAGTTGAACAAAATTATTTTATTGGTTTTCTCGTACTTCAGGATTTGTTTCGCTAATTTTGTAGTTTTAACTCAAAATATAAGTAAATAATAGTATAGTAATTAGCTAATAGTTTGAGTAGGTTATTCTCTTAATATATTTTTTTATATCTAATATATCACAGAGAGTGATGAGTACGTGAAGAGCTACACCATCAAATTCTTGAGATTTCTATAATCTTAACATTATCATTTATAAAATTGGTTTAACACGAAAATTATGTAATGATTGTGTGTGAGCGATGAATTGTTGAAAATATTAATAGAAAAAATATTTTAATACTAAAATTAGTTGATTATATAAGTGAATGATTTGATAATTAAAAATTATATTTATCAAAATATAACATCAAATAAACCAAATCAAACAGCTGGAAAAACAAGCGGTGTAGGTGTAACATGAAAAATCTACTAATAATAAAAAGGCTTTGGACAATAGACAATGGACAAAATTAAATAAAAAAATAGAAAATAAACAACATAAATTACCTAGAACCTCCTTATCCCGGCCCATCAAAATATAAATACAATTGGGCCGTAACAATTGGGCTGTAACTAATCATCTAGAACCTCCATAGTTCCTCGATTTTTTTTATCTCCCTTCCTCTTTTCACTTTCTTCAAAATCACACAACTTTACTAAATTCCTTAATCCTGGCAAAATCACACAAATCAATTTTTTTGAATTGTAACCCTAATCGATTCTATAACGAAATCGACCAATTCCATGCTTCGATTTGATTAGGGTTTTTCCCAGAATCTGCGAAATTGCCCTAATTTTCAATCGATTTCGCAGAAATTGGAAGAGAAATCGAAGATGAAGAAGTACGGATTGCAAATCAGAGCTCCGTCCCAGAAAAAACAATCATCATCTCGACCTCCACTTCGACCCGCTTCAATATTTGGTGAAGAAGAAGATCACGATGTCGAAAAGGAGATTTCTCGTCAAGCTTCAAAGACTAAAGCTCTTAAAGAAGTAAGCTTTTTTCCCTCCATCATTCTTCTAACTCTGTTATCTGTTTCTTTTTTTCTGATTTGGTTGTTTTGTGTTTGATTTTAGATTGAGGAACAGCATAAGAAAGCCTTAGAGGAGGATCCTTCTGCTTTTGCATATGATGAAGTTTATGATGATATGAAACAGAAAGCTGTTCTTCCTCGAATGCAAGATCGCGAAGAACGCAAGGTAATCTTAATCTCTTGCTCTGGGAAACATTAGGAAGCTTAGGTTTGTGTGTTCTTAAGAGAATCTATAATCTGTAGCTGACATAGTTTATCATATGATTGAAGTATAAGAACCCATTGCTTATAGAGGTGAAGTTTTTGAGCCTCTAAAGGCGTCACTTTTAACAGTTTCTTATGGTATTACATTGTCTATAGTTGTGTCACTTTAGTTAGGTTTCAGAATGACTTATTGGGTTGCTTGTGTCTCATTTGATTCTTTTCTAATTGCAGCCAAGGTATATCCAGCATTTGATGAAACAGGCAGAACGTAGAGAGAAAGAACATGAAATAGTTTACGAGAGAAAGCTTGCGAAGGAGAGGGAGAAAGATGAACATCTTTTTTCGGATAAAGAAAAGTTTGTAACTGGTGCTTATAAAAGGAAACTCGAGGAACAAAAGAAATGGCTGGCGGAAGAAAGATTGCGTGAACTTCGAGAGGAAAGGGATGATGTAAGTGTTTCTGTTTCCTCGTTCATTATATCTCATGTTTGTGTTTCTAGCTCTCTGGCCTACTAAACTAGTACTTGCTTAGGATTGTTATTTTCGTTTCTGCCTTAAGTAGCTTTGGTTTGGGAACTGTGTCTAGTTTGATTGATCGCAATCTTTTATTTGTACAACCTTGTTGCATGTTGTGGCTTTTAGGACGTGATGGGTGGGTCCAGAAATCGTTTCCTTGTCTCTGTATTAGCGATGGGGAAAAAATATACCTTTGGTGAAATTTAAACTGATTTGTTTTTATAGCTATTCATTCTCATGTCAGCTCTTTTCCTTTGTTTTCATCTTCTGTTAGGTTACAAAGAAGAAAGACTTGAGTGATTTCTACTTCAACATTGGAAAAAATGTGGCATTTGGAGCTCGAGATATCGAAGCTAAAGAGGTAGAGAGACTCGAGGAACAAAGAAAGGCTGAGAAGCTCGAGGAACAAAGAAACGCAGAGAAGCTCGAGGAGCTGAGAAAAGAAGAAACAAGGGAAGAGAAGAAAAGAAAATCACCGGAGAAGGAAGTGTCTCCTGACTCAATAGATTTTGGATCTAGTCGTAGCAAAAGTTTGGAGCCACAAGAAGCAGAGCAAGCAGTTTCTGAAAAGAAGATGGGTTCAGATGGTACTGAAGAGAGAGACTCTTCAATCAAAGAGGCAGCAAAAGAAGTGCCGAAAGCTGTTAACGACCACAAGAGAAGAGAGGATGCGATTGCTGCAGCGAAAGAGCGGTTCTTGGCCCGTAAGAAGGCAAAGATTGAAGAACTTGTGTAACTTTGCAGATTTTTGTCCAATGATCAATAACTTTTGGTGAACTTGTCTTTTGTTTATCGACCACCCTCTGTTTTAAAGTAACTTTTCATGATAACGCTTCTTAAACTACAGGGTCTACTTTCATCACAATTGCAATAGGTTGGATGGTAAACTAAGAAGAGAAAAAACGAAAAAAATTCCTTCATTAATCAGAATTAATATACAGAGATGACACAAACTTAATAAAGATTTAAGAAGAGAAAGTTTTTCTGAATTTGATATTTATATCAGAGATTGAGATAACGAGAATACAAAATTTGATTTCAGAATTTGATACCTCTCCACTCTATCACTCCCGGTTAACGCCACTCCAATTCCTCTGCCTCACACCACACTATCTTCCCACCCACATAACAGTATCTCCTATGGTATTATACCTTCCCTCTTTTCCATATGCTTTCACTCGTGATGTAAAAATAAGCTTTTACCCGCCATATTCACAGCGAAACCCTTTTCCTCCATTGCCGCGCTTTCCTACATTACGGTGTAGCTTCTTCTCATCCCGCGGCATTGGCAGGCTATCCCAAGTATGTGTTTTGGGGGTCGAAAACTTCTCCCACCAGTAGGAATTCGGGTACAAGGACGCTCCCAACAAGTATATATCTTCCCCCAAAACACATATTGACCCCCAAAACACATCCCACAAGCTTCTGTTGTGGCAAAAAATGAAAGTATATATATTGTCAGTGTCAGTTTAAATGTCCTAATGGATTTAATTGAATAATATAGGGAAAAAATGAAAGTTAGAAAGTTGAGGAAAAAGGAAACTTTAGAAAATTAGAATTTGACAGAGAATTAAATAGAAAGACCCAACACAACTTGAAAAAGGGTTTTATTTAAGTTCTGTTTCTTCTCTCGAGCATTGTTTTTTAGTCATTGACGACGAGAGAAATTCATTCTGATTTTTAATTCCTGACAAGTGCAAAAATCTATAGCTAAACGAAATTACGAAACCATTGGCGATTACTCTGAGATGGAACCTTTTAGTGCAAGTTTTGATTCTTCAAACCCATTAGGGTTTTTGGAGAAAGTCCTTGACTTTATTGGGAAAGAGAGCAACTTTCTGAGGAAAGACAAGGCTGAGAAAGAGATCACCGATGCTGTTACGGTCGTGAAGGAGAGGTTGAGGGAAGCAGAGAAGAAGAAGATAACGGAGTCCATGGAGGTGGAGAAGGTGAGAGCCTCGACGTTGCCGTTTAATTCAAGTTTTGATCTTTCAGACCCATTAGGGTTTTTGGAGAAAGTCCTTGACTTTATTGGGAAAGAGAGCAATTTTCTAAGGAGAGACAAGGCTGAGAAGGAGATCATTACCGCTGTTACAGCCGCGAAGGAGAGGTTAAGGGAAGCGGAGAAGGAGAGTGTAAAGCAAGCAACAGAGAAGATTAACAAGTACGGACTGCAAATTAGGGCTCCATCACAGAAAAAACAGTCATCATCTCGACCTCCACTTCGGACTGCTTCAATATTTGGTGAGGATGATGAAGACAACGATGTCGAGAAGGAGATTTCTCGACAAGCTTCAAAGACCAAGGCTCTTAAAAAGGTATGGTTGACTCATCATTCTGAGTTTCTGACTCTGTTTCTTATGTACCATTAAATTGTATCTTTTGTTAAATGATTTGTTTGTGTTGATGTAGATTGAGGAGCAGCATAAGAAAGCTTTGAAGGAGGATCCTTCTGCTTTTGCATACGATGAAGTTTATGATGACATTAAACATGAAGCAGTTCTTCCACGAATGCAAGATCGCGAAGAGCACAAGGTAAATCTATAATCTCTTGATCTGAGAAACTTTAGAAAGCTAATTTCCATGTTTATGTGTTATTGGATTGCTTATGTCTCATTTACTTCTTTCTATTTGCAGCCAAGATATATACAGCATATAATGAAACAAGCAGAACGCAGAGGAAAAGAACAAGAAATAGTTTATGAAAGAAAGCTTGCGAAAGAAAGGGCGAAAGACGAACATCTTTTTTCCGATAAAGAAAAGTTTGTAACTGGTCCCTTTAAAAGAAAACTAGAGGAACAAAAGAAATGGCTGGCGGAAGAAAGATTGCGCGAACTTCGAGAGGAAAGAGATGATGTAAGTTCTGTTTCGTGTCAACGCTTTGCTTGTTCATTAGATCATGTTTGTATTTCAGTCTCTCTGGCTAGTGCTTGCTCGGATAGCCAAAGTCCTTGGTTTTTCCTTTTAGTTTCTGTCTAATGTAGCTCAGGTTTAGGAACTGTTTCCTGGTAAGTTAGCTAGATCACAATCTTTTCTTCTTATAATCTTGTTGCATGTTGTGTCTAGAAATCATTTTTCTTGTTTCTCTGTTTTAGCAATTTGTGAGGAGATATAGCTTTGCTGGATTATAAACTGATTTAGTTTCTATTGCTATTTTAACTCTTGTCAGGCCTTTAACTTTGTTTTCATCTTCTGTTAGGTTACAAAGAAGAACGACTTGAGTGATTTCTACTTCAACATTGGGAAAAATGTGGCATTTGGAGCTCGAGATATCGTAGCTAGAGAGGCAGAGAGGCTCGAGGAGCTGAGAAAGGCAGATAAGCTTGAGGAGCTGAGAAAAGAAGAGGCAAGGAATGAGAAGAAAAGAAAATCACCGGAGAAGGAAGTGTCCCCGCATCAATCAAAGAGGCAGCAAAAAGAAAATCCGAAAGCCACTAGAGAGGATGCGATAGCGGCTGCAAAAGAGCGGTTTGTATCTCGTAAGAAGGCAAAGATAGAGTGCAACTTGGCAGATGTCAGTCCAACGGTCACCAAATTTTGGTGAAAACTTGTCTTCCTGATTATTGATCAACCTTTGTTTAATAACTTTCTAGATAACGCTTATTCAATTGAAATTTTATTTGCAAAACTTGTAATGTAAAATTCATCATAAGGTATGTATTTCAAGCCATGACGGTCCGCTCATACTTCCAATCTCGCTACAGCTACTCATCCAAGTCATTGATGCAAAATCTGTAATTTGAAGGACAGCTTATGTTTCTGATTAGGATCAAGAACCTAAACCTCTCTTTCCTTTAACATAATTCTATGCTCTGTTTTAAGTTTACATATAATGTAAACAAGGTTTTTTAGTGAATAAAATTTACATTCTTTCAAACAAAATAAAAACTTGTAATGTCTTAACGAAATAGTTTTTTCTCCCCTTGTCACCTTTTTCTAACTAAAATGCTTTTTACGTATTTTTGTAGACCATCTTAGATTTCCTTATTATGAAAACAACTTATTACGAGAAAAATAATTTGTAGTAACAAGAGATTGTGGATACCTAACATAAAGTAAGTAAAATAAGGAGAGAATGGTGTCCAAGTCTTTAAAATAAAATAATTTCCTCAAAGTCGTATCATGATATCAAAACAAAGGTTATATATATATTATTCCCTATATAGGTTTTGTATGAATCAAGAGTTCAAAATTCTTAGACATAAGAATTAAAGATGGAAGTGTTGAGAACAAGTGGACTCTGCTCTGATTTCGGAGCTTAAATCTTTCAATATGAGCGAAACCGGACATCTTACGCGCAAACCAAACTTTCTGAACGAGAAGATCGAACTCTTCCATTGGAACATTATATCGGCTATAACGTAACCGTCGGCCTTACCATCTCTGACAAGAAAATCCCCGGTCCGCTTAAGATTGTCGTTATTGTTTGCTACAACCGCTGTCCAAGTTGTAACTTCACGAGGCTTCTGACGCGTGCTTTGCAAGAGAACACTCTTTGTCTCGAAGTCTCCTGGGACTAGGACGTGTAGACTCATTTTGCTGTAGTAAACACTTGACTTGGAGCTTGGGTTGGTAGATGACAGATTAACCTAGATAAACCAAATCGAAACAATAATCATATTATTACAAAAGACCTTGTTTAGATCATAGCTTTATACTTTTGTAAAAAGAAAAAAGGAAAAACTTGAAAAGACTTACAAATACACTTGGACTGTTGGGATCAACGTAGAGACCCTCGAGCATGAACTGTGGAACTCGCGGTTGGTTAGCTAAGTAGCTGAAGGCAAAGACACAGATTGTGAGTAAAATTAAAGCCGCGGACACGCCGAAGTAGATTGTTATTATTTTCTTAATTTTATTTTTTCTTTTGTTTGAACAAACAAGGCGAATGTGTTTTGACGCCGCAGCGCCTTCTTCTTTGGCTTCTGTCTTCTGCATCGTTTATATTGCTATGTGTGGTTTCTTCTCTTTAAGCTTTAATGGAACTTCTTTGTGTGGTTTTGGATCGGAGTAACTATGATACGTAGATTTATATAGAAAAGCTTAGAGGGTGGAGAGTTTTATGGTTTTGGAAATCTTACAAAAACAAGAATGGTAAAGAGACACAAAAGTGTAGAAAAGGAAAAATGGAAATGTTTATTTTTTTATATATATATGGAAAATATGGAAATGTTAAGTAAGAGAGAAATAGAAAACATCCTTATATTTTCAACTCTAGTCCATTAGTCGACACAACCCCAAAGTGACTCAGGTTTAGGAACTGTGTCAAGGTAAGTTAGCTAGATCACAATCTTTTCTTGTTATAATCTTGTTGCATGTTGTGTCTAGAAATCATTTTTCTTGTTTCTCTGTTTTAGCAATTTGTGAGGAGATATAGCTTTGGTGGATTATAAACTGATTTAGTTTCTATTGCTATTTTAACTCATGTCAGCCCTTTAACTTTGTTCTCATCTTCTGTTAGGTTACAAAGAAGAACGACTTGAGCGATTTCTACTTCAACATTGGTAAAAATGTGGCATTTGGAGCTCGAGATATCGTAGCTAGAGATGCAGAGAGACTCGAGGAGCTGAGAAAGGCAGATAGGCTCGAGGAGCCGAGAAAAGAAGAGACATTGAAAGAGAAGAAAATAAAATCACCGGAGAAGGAAGTGTCCCCTGACTCAGGAGATTTTGGATTAAGTAGTAAAAAAAGCGTCAAACCGCATCAATCAAAGAGGCAACAAAAAGAAACGCCGAAAGCCACTAGAGAGGATGCGATAGCGGCTGCAAAAGAGCGGTTTGTATCCCGTAAGAAGGCAAAGATAGAAAAGTAGTAGTGCAACTAGGCAGATGTCAGTCCAACGGTCACCAACTTTTGGTGAAAACTTGTCTTCCTGATTATCGATCAACCTTTGTTTAAAAACTTTTCTAGATAAAGCTTACTCAATTGTAATTTTATTTGCAAAACTTGTTATGTAAAATTCATCATAAGGTATGTATTTCGAGCCACGACGTTCCACCACTTCCAACCTCGCTACAGCTACTCATCCAAGCGATTGATGCAAAATCTGTAATTTGAAGGAAAAAACCTAAACCTCTCTTTCCTTTCACATAGTTCTATGCTCTGTTTTAAGCTCCGTTTTTAAGTTATTTCAATTGAGTTTACATATAATATAAACAATTTTTTAGTGAATAAAATTTACATTCTTTCAAACAAAATAAAAACTTGTTATGTCTTAACGAAATAGTTTTTTTCTCCCCTTGTCACCTTTTTCTAACTAAAATGCCTTTTACATACTTTTGTAGACCATCTTAGATTTCCTTATTATGAAAACAACTTATTACGAGAAGATTAATTTGTAGTAACAATAGATTGTGGATATGGAAAAAAAAAAAAAAAAGAGATTGTGGATACCTAACATAAAGTAAGATAAAATAAAATAATTTCCTCAAAGTATCAAAATAAAGGTTATATGTATATTATTCCGTATATATGTTTTGTATGAATCAAGAGTTCAAAATTCTTAGACATAAGAATTAAAGATGGAAGTGTTGAGAACAAGGGAACACTGCTCTGCTTGCGGAGCTTAAATCGTCCAATATGAGCAAAACCGGACATCTTACGCGCAAACCAAACTTTCTGAACGAGAAGATCCCACTCTTCCATTGGAAGATTATATCGGCTATAACGTAACCGTAGGTAATACCGTGTCTGACAAGAAAATCCCCTGTCCGCTTAAGATTGTCGTTATTGTTTGATATAACTGCTGTCCAAGTCGTAACTTCACGAGGCTCCTGACGCTTGCTTTGCAAGAAAACAGTCTCTGTCTCGAAGTCTCCTGGGACTAGGACGTGTAGACTCATTTTGCTGTAGTAAACACTTGACTTGGAGCTTGGGTTGGTAGATGACAGATTGACCTAGATAAACCAAATCGAAACAATAATCATATATATTATTAGGGTTTAGAATAGCTTTATACTTTTTGTAAAAAGTACATAGGAAAAATTTGAAAACACTTACAAATACACTTGGACTGTGAGGATCAACGTAGAGATCCTCGAGCGTGAACTTTGGATGTTGGATAGCTAAGTAGCTGAAGGAAACGACACAGATTGTGAGTAAAATTAAAGCCGCGGACACGCCGAAGTAGATTGTTATTATTTTCTTAATTTTATTCTTCTTCATCGTTGCTTCGTCCTCCTGCATCATCGTTTAGATTACTATGTGTGGTTTCTTCTCTTTAAGCTTTAATGGAACTTCTTTGTGTGGTTTTGGATCGGAGTAACTATGATACGTAGATTTATATAGAAAAGCTTAGAGGGTGGAGAGTTTTATGGTTTTGGAAATCTTACAAAAACAAGAATGGTAAAGAGACACAAAAGTGTAGAAAAGGAAAAATGGAAATGTTTATTTTTTTTATATATGGAAAATATGGAAATGTTAAGTAATGAGAAATAGAAAACATCCTTATATTTTCAACTCTGGTCCATTTAGTCGACACAACCCCAAAATATATTATATTTTGTTTAGTAATAGAGAAATAGAAAACATCCTTATACTTTTTATTTTTTCTTATTTTTCAAATAATAACCAATATTTTCTTGAAATCGTTTTATCCTTCGAAAAGTTAAAAACTGTAAAAATAAAAGTTTATCTAATTCAAAAGATGTCCATTATGATTTATGCTCATCTATCGTTAAGTTGTCTCAAAGAAGTCTGTCTGTGTTCCATTAACGGAATTAAACTGACATGGCAATCAAAACACATTACATTAAATCAAATCAAATCAAATTGTTTAACTTATGTGTCATTTGCAAAACTAGCCACATTTGATAAACTATTTAAGTATATAGCATTATATATGTATAAATTAAGAAACTAACACAAAGAACAAGTATAATGACCAAATGTGGTGGTGGTGGTGATCAAAGCCTTTGAACCGTAGCATAAAAGCATCGACCTTTTTGCAGCCGAAAGCTGTGGCCTATTAGTGAGCTGAACCATAGTCAAAAGATGTTTAAGGGAGATAATACCACGTACGATTGCAAATATACTAAAATGATAATCAATTTTAGTAGGAGTTTCGACTTCTCATGAAACACATGGATTTGCGCTGAGATGGAAAACTGATTAGTTGTCACAGAAATAAAGAACTGGCCGTCGGACAAGAATGGGCCAATTGACCGAAAGAAAACATGTAATGACAGTCGGAACGTTACAAATTTATGGACATGTAATATAGCAATGTTTGTTTCACACGTATGTCAAAATCCTAAAGTCTTAGTGAATAAATCGTGAAGTGATCATCACCATAGAATTTGATGGCCTTTGACAATTTCAAACTCAAATAATTGAATTTTGTTTGTAAGATAGAAACCAACACAAAATAAACTCAAATATTATAAATAAATTAGATACTTACATAATATATAAATTAATTGAAGGATAGGAAACCACATAGTATTTTAAGGATTTCTTAAGTTTCAGTTATTACATAGTAACCCAAAAAAAACCTCGCATAAGTCTACAGGAGGCGTTGTGTAGTATTTCTCATGAGCAAATTTGTTTTGGTTGCATAGTTTCTTGCAAGCATTCTCACATAAAGGAATAGTTGCCTTTTTAGAAACTTTCATGCACTGATTCGGGACACAATGCTTAACACACACTTCCACCGTACTCGCGTATGTTGAAACCATGATCGTAAATAAAACTCCAATCATCAAAACACTGTATATCTTTTTCATTGTTTGAGTCGCCATTATTTGAAGAGATGAGTTTATGAGTGTTCAAGCTTAATATAATTTTGTTTATGTTATATAGCAAATAGAAATTTAACAGGATGATTAGTATTGAGTTGGCTTTCTGTAAATTTTTACTTTATATATCAGAAGTTGTTTTATCCAATCTATAAATTATTTATTTTGGAAGTCTATCCATGTGTTTTTTTTTTGTTGTAACCAACCGGTTATTTTAAGTGCATTTTTTTTATTAGTTAATAGGAAAAAAATCCGAAAAAACCGCAGTCTATTTTTTATTTGGCCCGGTTTTTTTTTTTTTTAATGTTATTGGTTGTCCAAACAATCCATCGTTCCTAATTCTCGTTGTCAGGAAACCTACCCAATTTGGTGTTAAAGTTTTAGATTATACTTTTTTACTATAAATACATGTTGTTGGAAGGACGACATCTGAGTACCCTAAATGAACAAATTACTTTAAGCATTCTGTGAACTAGTAACTTTTACTTTTTAGTACTATTCAAACTGACACGTAAAACTGGTGAGAAATTATAATCACATGACTAATAAAATTTTCATAAATCCGATATTCGGTGGTGGTGTGCCCCATACTAAATATGTTTCTAGATCCGCCTATGATCAAAGGTGATGGTGGTAGTGACCAAAGGTGGTGATGGTAGTAGTGGTTATGGTCATGGTGCTGGTGGGAGTGACAAAAGGTGGTGGTGCTAGTGGGAGTGATCAAAGGTGGTGGTGATGGGTGATTAAAGCTGATGGTGGTGACGGACTGTGACGGCGGTGGTGGAGGTAATGACGGAGGCAGTGGTGGTGATGACTGCGATGGCTATGGTGGTGATGGCGGCGGCGGTAGCCGTGACCGTGGTGATGATGGTGATGATAGTTGTTGTGGTGATGGTGATGACTGATGAGGACCAAATTGTAATAATATACATTACACACAAAGTATAATGTAAGCTTTTTTGTTTATGTTAGTTTTTTAATTTATAAATTTTTGTAGGTTATAGTGTTATCTTATTATAATAAATCACAAGTCATTTCACTAAAAAGTGCAACCCTCTCCATTTGACATGTATCATAAGTCTCAAATTTTCATCTTTTACTTTTCGATACCAATTTAATTCCTCGCAGAGAAAATATACCCAAAAAATCGTTCGACTTCTTAATCAACTGCTTCCTTCCCACGATATCCAAATTCTCTCCTCCATCCCACGATTAGACAAATTAAAGCATCCACTTCTCTTCCATTTTCGATTCCTTTTTCCTGTAACTTATCTCCATTTTTTTTTCTTTGAAAGTTTCGTTTATATTCATTGTCTATTTTACGAGACTGGTTTCGTTATCTTCTATACATGAATCATTAGATCATGGCTTCTTCGAAATTTTGTTGTTGCTTCGGCTTTGATTACTGAGGTACAACAATTTATTTCAGTTGTCGTTACATGTCTCTGATTTTAGGGTTTATCATCGATTGTTAGAAGCTGGTTTGGTTTGAGATTGATTGTCTTTGTTTGATTTACATGGAGAACCTTTGAAACAATCATATATGCAAATCTCGGATCTCTTCGTCTTTGCAGTTTACAGTTTATGTTTTCAGATTTCCCAATTCTCGCTCAGTTGGTTCATCGTCATATATATGCTCATCATTACAAGTGGATTCCAGGTTCATTTTACAAGTGGATTCCAGGTTCATCTGCACCAAACACTTGAACAACGAATTATATCAAATCTACGTGAAGGTATTCACAATTTCGTTCATTAATCCTAAGATCTTTTAATGTTTAATATAGTCTACTGAATTGCTTTATTGATTTAAATTTTACTGTTCGTACTTTTGAGGATGAAATTACTTTGAAGGTGATCATTTTGCGCATCGTCTTAAGTTAATTCAGAGGTGAACAATCTTCAATTTATTCAATTTTTGTATCAATTAATTATTAAACATGCTCTTTTTTTTGTTAGGATTCAAAAACAGAGGAAATATTAAGTAGAGTCATTTGCTCGAATAGGAATTCATTACCTGACAAGATATGGGTCACGGTTTACTCTCTCTTTCTCTCTCCCTCTCTCATATGCGCTTTTAAGGTTGACATCATGTTAATACACACAAAATTTTACTTCGGGGTGAACAAGGTCAAGCGTGTGATCGAGAGAATGAAACACAACATCGATAATATGCAAACCACTAGAGAACCTCTTGTCTAACTACATGCAATGATAGTTGCAGCCGAAGCATATGCCATTGACTAAATATGAAGTAACCTAAGTCACAAAGATCTTACTCCATCTGAAGGTAATCTCTCACTGAATAAATCTTTCTAATCACTGTCCTTGGTTAAAACTTTACACAAACATCTTAATATGTCTCCTTTTTTGTCAATATCTTAGAACAACGGATTATTCTCACAATTGATGGACTTCACTGAAAACAAGCATCAAGGTCAGTGTCTTTTCGATTTAGATCTTTGAGCATAAGCGAACTATTTATTTACACACATACCTTCCGTTTATGATTCTTAGTAAGCATAAATATGCCTACTCTAGAACTAGACGTGTAGTTATAATGAAGAATATGAAAACAGGTAATCAAAAGCATAAATATATATTACTTGGTATGGGACATATAAGACATAAAAAGGCCCTTGAATCATATATTTACTTACTGTTTCTCTACATTTTTACAGGATTCCAACCTATATTCACTTTGGGATTGGAAAATTGCCTCCGTAACAAATTGTATACAAGAGTCTTTCATGAGAACTTGATATTATGAATGCTTATATCTGTAGCTTGACAAGGCTATGTTTTGAAAAGCATTGGAAACGGCAAATGAAAGAACTTCTGCTTCTGCAATGAGACGCTAAAGTTCTTAAATCAAGGAATAAAGCACTACAAAAAGTTTAAGGAAATGGTGGAAAAAACTGCACATGAATTCATGATTTCGTGAAGTTACTAGAGAAGAAAGTAATGAAGTCTAATGAGAGGTTGAAGTGTTTGATTCTGCAAAAGGGAGAGCTTTTCGTGCATGAGGAGCCAGCCTGCACAAGGGAGAGCTACCACATGCATGAAGAGGCAGCCGAATTATATTTCAGTTCTGGATAATTTGATATGTTCTATAGAATGTGTAACCAAATTTTATGTTTTTTTTTTCTCACAACTTTATGTTTCATGCCTATGGGAATGGAAACGATATTATTGATGACAAAATGATTAGTTTTGTCTCAAGTTATGCTCAAATAACAATTAATAGTATTTGATAATAAGATTTGTCATTTAATTAAATTTAAGTTTATAAACACTTACAATTTTAATTGAAAACACCCTAAAGAGTAAAGTTATTTCCTCCCGTGCAGAGCACGGGCTATAACATTAGTACATTCATATTTCCCTTAACTTATTTCAAACAAAATATGTCTCAAACCCAAATAACACTTGTATTAAACCTAATTAAGAATCTATGTGCGTGCCTTTCCCTTCTCCTAAATCGAATCAGTGGAAACTAAACCCTAACAATTGAGACAAATATTTATAATTTTATTTCTAATAGAATGTGATCACAACTTCAAATGATTTACTTCCAAGATGCGTGTCGTAAAAGGTGAATTAACGTTGCGTCTCCTCTAATACCTTCTCTAGTTCTCGTGCGGAGCTGGTGGCTCGGTGTATTTTGGATGACATGTCTTCGAGTATTGTGTTCATAAGTTCGAGTTCCTGGTCGCGCGTTCGGGTAATGTAGTCATCAGGTCGGTTTTGAAGACTTCGGCTGCTTGGCAAAGTATGATCGTTCGGCAAGCTCTCGCGAGGATGCTCGTCGACAGATCCAACGATAATTGATTCCGGCCGGCGGCGTTGGTTCTCCGAGCGTTCGGCAACTGGGGTACATGGAGACGGCAGTCCTTTCCTCGTCATCGCGAGGTTGGGAAGCGACTTGTGCTGCTATGAGGGCATCGATCCGTTCGGTGGTCCGCGCGTCCTCGACGTCGTCCAGTTCTAAGATGGTTTGAACGAGATCGTCTAGGTGGGTACCCCGGTCTCCGGCTCTGGTACGTCCTGGTGCGGCGCCTACGGCTGCCCGTGCTGCGGCGGCTGCTTCGGCTGCAGCTGCTACTGCGAGTGCGGCCGGAGGCGGTGCAGCGTGAACAACATCAGACTCTCTCCCTGTGTTAGGCGTGAACAAGAGGCGACGCAAGGGATCCGGCTCGACGCGGTCAGCTACTGGGTTTAGCAGAGGTAGTCCCTGCGTCGGGCGCTGTTGGTATGCCAGTGTCAGTTCCTCGGTCGCTCGAGGTGTCCGTCATGTCATCGCAAATCGTTGTAGACTCGGGGTGCATTTGCTCGTCAAAGAAGGGTAGCTTCGAACTAAGCCCCACTGTGGGCGCCAATTGTTTGTACCAAGGTTGTAACAATGAATAACTAGAGAATTTTCGAGGAGATCAAAGTAACTTCTTTATTAATGACGAATGAGATCGGTGAATTACATGAAGTAAATGACGAACGAACGAACGTATCAACTGGAAGACAGAAAATGACGAAGGAACGAACGTATCAACTAGAAGATAGAAAATCACGAACGAACGAATTAACTAAGAGATAGAAAATGACGAACGAACGAACGTATCAACTAAGAGACACGAAATGACGAACGAAATACAATGAGATCAGATACAAATCGTTCTCTGGTTCTCTGGGTATTGACTTGTGTACCTCTTGTCATAAATAGTGATTTATTTGTAGGACAATGCTTGTGACCTAGAGTCCCTTGTGCTCTCTTTGCAAATTACCATTTTGCCGTCCAAGCTTAATGGGCAGATTTAGAGTAGACAACATGCCCAATAACATATGAGTCTCTGTTTGGGACAAATGACATATAATGGGTGAAACCCATATCCAACAAAAAATCTTAAGACTATAGAAATAGACAAAAAAAAATATATGAATTCATCATTTTCATAAACAATTTAGGAAATCTGAGTTAAGAAAAAAAAAACTATAAATGCAACAAAATTTTTGAATGTGAAAATTAACATAATATCATGTAGTTAAAAATCAGATCAAGATCACCATCTCTTCTTTTTCTTGAGACAAAGTCTCTTCCCCACCACCTACAAAGCAAAATGTTCTTATTAGTAATTTAATAATTATTAAACATACAATAAACTATACTTCCTCGTTTTGTTTTAATTGTCATTTAAGGTTTTCTAAAACCATTAAATTTTATGTATTACCCTTTGTTAATATTTTTTTATAATTTTTTCGTTTGCCAAAACATTAAAGCATTAGACATAAAACTGAAATTTTCACCAAACATTTGCATTGAAAACCTAAAACGACAACTATTACAACCTAAACCAAAATTTAATTCCTAAAATGACAACTAAACTAAATCAGAGGGAGTATTAATTAAAAAAAAATATATTTTAGATTATGTTTTTTCACTATTCTTGGGATAATCTTCGAGAATTTCAGTTTTTAACTCCTCACAATCGAGTACATCATCTCTTTCTTCTTCACCAATTCAAAACTCGGTTTTATCAACATGCCATTAAGGACCGGATCTCATCACTGCAGCTGCCAACGACATCGAAGCTACACGGCTTGCGGATGCGTTGGGAGGATGCTGCGACGTTGCTAAGAGTTTGCTCTGTTTTCTTTTAATCCCCTGTATTTTCCTCCTCTGTTTTGGAGTCTTTAGTGTCATTTCTTTAAGACTCCTTTCTTTTTCTTTATACCCATTTTCAACATATATAAATTTCACATTTAAGCAAAAAACTTAGATAATTTCTTCTTCTATGAAAATAATTGATTTGTGAAGAATGCTATTATATAATAAAGTAGACATAGGAGGCATAGAATAAAGTTGAGAGTAACAGATTATGAAATAATGCAGAAAGACAAACCCCACCAACAATTACTTGTTCATATCACTAAAAATCCGAGTAGTTACAAATTAATCGCATCGATAAATCATGTATACATTGCAAACTCAGGAATTAAAGATCCTAGGATCTTCCCAAAGAAACTATAACCATTCAGAACATTATCCCTTAATCATCTCTCTTACTCAACAACAACAAAGCGACAGAAGCACTTCTCGCAAGAGAGAGAGAAGCACTTCTCGCAAGAGAATATGCGCCAGGGACAGCAAATCTAGATTCTATAGTCATTTCATTCAAACCCCACAAAAATGTGTCACCACAACTCCAATTAGCAAGAGAAAAAACTTGAAGCAGAAACAAGAATAAGGCCTTGCCACAAAATAAGAAGTCAACCAAAACCTTGTTCCTCTATGAATCATTTATTAACCCACCAAATTCTCCAATAAGAGTAAGCATGCATATTGGCTAGTTCTTAACCTAACGATTCAACCATGATACATTCTCAAAAGTGACTCAATCATGACACAAACTTTCGATCTTAGCAGGGCATAAATACAGAATAACATATCATTTGAGAATCACCAATATAAACCTAATAAGAACTCACTAGAACCAATCATTCCAAAGACAATTAAGTTTCATTATGTCCAATCAAATCCTAATACCACATTCGTATCACCACAACTCCAATTACCAAGAAAAACTTGAAACAGAAACCAGATTATGGTCTAACCACAAAATAACAAGTCGAGCAAAACCATGCTCTACTATGAATCATTTAGATACCTAATGAAACCCACCTATTCCCCCAATAACAGAAACCATCCCTATTGGCTATTACTTAACCTAACGATTCAACTATAATACAATCTCAAAACTAACTCAATCATGCCACAAATACCAAATAACATATCATTTGAGAATTAATGATAAAAATCTTAATAAGAACTCACTAGAACCAATCATTCCAAAGACAATTCAAGTTTCATTATGTCCAACCATGTCACAATCAAATCGTAATACCACAGTCATATCATTCAAACCCCACAATAGTGTATCACCAAAATACTCCAATTACCAAGATTATGGTCTAACCACAAAATAACAAGTCGAGCATAAACATGCTCTACTTACCTAATGAAAACCACCAATTCCCCAATAACAGTAACCATCCCTATTATCTATTACTTAACCTAACGATTCAACTATAATACAATCTCAAAAGTAACTCAAACATTCCACAATCTCTTAAGTTCCCATCTTTGACATCATACCAAACGCGATAAGTCGAACTCCAAACATATCATTAGTAATGTCAATAGAAGAAACTCAAAAGTACTAATCAATCATCCTCAAGAATTGAAACATCAACAAAACATTACTAATAAGAAAGCTAAAAACTGAATCTTTTTCCATTCTTTCCATCATCCAAATCGAAAAACATAGTCGATTTACAAAAGATTAGTTAAGATAATATCCCTAAAGTAACCAAAGAGAATAATACTCACTAAGTTCAATAAGTTTTGCATCTTTTAGCTGAACCAACCATCTTCCCTGAACCACTACTCACCGGAACACCAACAGCAACATCATCACAATAAACCGTAACATATCTCCGCCTCCGAAACGCACCGTATCGAAACGAAACATAAGAAATCATCCTCAAATCAAACTCAACACTTCCTTTATCACTCCTCTCTTTCCCAATAGAATCAGCTAATCTCCCATCAACATAAGTACCAGAAACAGAGAGAGTCGCATTAACCACCGTTTGATCTTTCTTTCCTTGATCAAACGGTTGTAACCTAGTCTCAGATAGAGAAACACGATTGTAATACATAGCACAAAAAGCAGCATCGTAGTGAAGTGACATCTTTGAATTAGGGTTTCGAAATTGGACTTGAAGATCCCATTTACCAGAGACTTGATTGTTGGAGACGTTGAAATTGGAGACGGAGAGTGAGTTTAGGTAAACGTCTGGGAGTTGAGGACGGACGATTAGGAAGAAGATGAAGAGGATTAGACCTAGGATTAGGAGGAATGTCATGAAGACGATGAAGAGACGGCGGAGTATGACGGCGCGTGGGTTTGGTTGAGGTGGTGCGTAGTATGGGTTGTGGTTTTGGTAGGGGTAAGCGGTTCCGGTGGCGGCGTTTGGGTAACCGTTGGTGGGTGGTGGTTGTTGTGGGTTTGGGTATGGGTATGGGTATGGGTAACCTGTAGCGGGTCGTGGTGGATCTTGCATAGCTTTTGATTGAGTTTTGGAGATCTTTAAAGATTTGAAGAGACGAAGATGGTTCTGATTTTTGTTTGTGATGTAGAAGAAGAAGAAGAAGAAGAAGAAGAATGAGTAAGAAAAAAAGGCAATTTAATTAAAAAGGAAATGCAAATTTTTACGCGTTTTTTTTTTACTATTTTTTTAACGCGGTTTGTGTAATTGTGTGTTCTTATATTATTATCACAGTTTACTTAGGCCACATATCAAGCCACATATCCTCCCACAGTCCCACCTATATTATAGAAGAACTAAAATTCTAAGACAATGAATATTTGTAGTTTTTAAAATGGTTTTTGGCTTTTCATTTTTGGTTTTTGTTTTGTTGGTTTTTGATTTTTAGAGTAGATTTTAGTTTCTTTAAAATTGAATGGTAGTTTGTTTAGTTTTTGGTTTTTAACTTTTTATGTTGACGAATTATAGTTTTGTTTACAAATATAAGAAAAAAATGAGAAACAATGTGATATATGGTTTTTGAGGAAGAAATCTCAAAAATATGGATCGAACGGGATATTATTGCCGTATAGAGATCATATCTCAAAAACTTAGACAAAACGATTTATCTCTGGTGTTTAAGGTTCGGCGAGTTAGAGCATGATTAACAATGGTATCTTAAAAATGGTTCTTAGAAGTATTAAAGTTAAGAACTCTTAGTTTTGGGTCTTAGCTAAGCCACTTTTCTTAGTTTTAGGTCTTAGCTAAGCCATATTTCTTACTTAAGAACTCTTTAAGATACCCTTGTTAATGGTGGTCTTAGTGTTATCACTTATTATCAAAAGTCGTTGTGCATTTCTTTATATAATAGGTCCACGAATATAGAGTTAATGGGCCAAGCCCAATCCATGCACTTGACCTTCTCTTCGAATAAGAGAAGATAAATCTCATCTTCATGTAAGTGCACATATGTATATATTTTTTTTCCGGTAACTTTTATTGATTAATCCCAACATGGGTAAAGTACCAGAGAGTTACATGGTGAAATAAGGAGAGCAATAACGAAAATACAAAAGCTCAAACATAAACTCTAATCAAGAATACATCATGGCACAAAGTAGGTATAGAAAGAGACACATGTCAGACACGTGTTATTATTTCGTGAAATGGGGATGGAAAAGCAACCGCCTCTGCCTTTCCACCGGAGCTGAGCCACCGATCAAACCCAGATTTTCCGGCGAGTTTCATATATCCACAACAAGGATCTATCGATCTTCAGCTTATTACTCCGAAAATTACCACTTTCCTTCGCAGTTTCCTCCGAGTGTGAAGAAACAAAGCCTCGTGAATCTTCAGATATGTGAAGCACTGGAAAACGTGAGATGGCTAGATTTGGAACAACAAATACTTCCGTTTTGGATTACATGGCGAATTTGGAAAGTTAGAAACAACTTTATCTTTAACAAATTTTGGTGGAACGCTTCGAAGTTGGTTATAAAAGCTCAAGCAGAGGTATCAGAATGGGTCAACATTAACACAAAACAGCCTCGCCAGGGATCTTCAAGGACTTCTCAGCCCATATCGCCTCCCTCTTGGACGCGACCAGTTTACCCTTTTGTTAAATGTAATTTTGATGATTCTCAATCTTCGAAGACAACTAGTGGTTGGGTGGTAAGACAACTAGTTATTAGAGACAAACCTAATCTTAACTTATGTGTTTATCTCAAGCTTTATATATCTTTGAGATCCTTATATACTTAGATTACGAAAAGGCTCGTGTGTAAATTATTAAGTTGTAACCTCATCATTAAAATACACAACACATATTGATTAATCTCTATGTATGTCACTATGGATAAGCATTTTGCTTCGTGCACGAATGGCCATTTTGAGTAGAACATTTCTTTTGATGAATAGTTGTCATTTTATTTATGTCTAATTAAATGGTAATATAATAACAAAATTTATATTTAGTTGATCTTAGATTAATTTGTCTGCGCATCGCAAACTTTTCCAACTTTTATATTTCTCAAGTCCATGACATGAAGCTTATAAAGAACACCTAAAATTTTTTTGTCACGGGCTTGAGAACTCAAATTTGTGTGTCCATTTTTAAACTTTTCCATTCACATTTGTATTCCATAATCCATACCGTTATTTTCACGTTCAACATTTCTTCTAATTCTACCAATTCGATTTTCTTTTTAATGAACTTTTCAATTGATTGCTCAACACAAAAATTTACTTACATGTTTGGAGAAATTTACTTACAACACAAAAATGAAGATAAACGCAATACCAAGATCACAAACTAAGGAATTGCCTCACTAAATCTAAGTCTCACTCTTAGCAAACCAGCATTGCATCAATAAATGGTGATGTAGGAGGTTCACTATGGACCTAGGAGGTTCCTGATTAATCGATATAGATGTTAGGTTCTGGTTGAACGCTTAGCTACCGTCTAACAATTTTTTGAATATTGAATACGATAAAACAATTAAATTTGTTGGGGAAATAAACCATTTTCTTTCATAAATAAAAGAAAATTATTATAATAAAAATGACCTTTTAGCCTTACAGTCTTCTTCTGTCTTGAGGTATAAGAAAACAAAAAGAAGAAGAGATATTTGCACCGTTTTGAGAAATTAGAAAAAAATTAAAAAAGACCGAAACAAAAATCTTGAACCTAATAATAATTGATTCCATGAGGGAAGAATCTAATAATAAATCTTGAACCGAAAGAAAAAAAAGAAGCTATATTAATCACATGGAATAATTAAACAAAGAAACCTGATCGATATGGCAGTAGAGAGAAGTTAAAGGATTTGGATTGCAACTTTTTTCTTACTGTTGTATGTAATTAACAAACTAATTAATATTATATGCTGCAGAATCTTACCTCCTTTTTACATATTTTACACTTTTTGTGTGAAGCTCTCAACTCAAGTAAGTTAATTAAACAAATAACCAATAAACGTAAAAAGATTTAAAATTTAGAATTGACCTTCTGTGATTTCATCAATCAGTCTCTTGTCTCCTAACGTTACACTCGTCTTTTCTAGTTTCTACTCTCTTCCCTCTCATTGCATTTTCCAGGCTGTTTCATCTTTCTTTGACATCACTGTATCGGTAACGATTCGACTACATATAGACAGCGACATCAATAATATATGGGGTGTTGGCCAACCAAAAATAGACATGAATAAGTATATTTAAAAGTTAACATCAAGTTTACAATATCTTTGGTGTTGGGTTTGATGTTATACATTGTATTGCAAAAGATCATCTCTATGGATTAAGTTGAATAAAATGAATAATAGATCTATAAAACTATACATTTTAACCTAATAGTAGTGGTCGGATGTATAGAGACGACTAGAACATTCTTTTTAATGGTAAAAATCTAATTTAAAAGAATTTTTTTTATGGATTTTAATTTTGCTTAGGGCACCCAAATTTACCGGGCCGGCACTGAGTAGTGGTCGGTTGGATAGAGTGTAAACTCACATTGCTTTTGAATTCAGTGCTAACTTAGCGGCCTTGAATGGTCGTAGACTTGTAGTTTTTCAAATGGTTTTTGATTTTAGTTGTTCCAAAATCTTATAGCCATTTAAGATTTTGAAAGAAGTGGATTCTCTAAAAAGAAATTCTATGGGTTTTTAGTTTTTTACTAATTTCTTAACAAAATCCAAAATTCTACTTCAATGAGATTTTGAGATTTCTTGTAGGCGACTTTTTTTTTCTCATTTGTTTTATTTTATTTTATTTTGAAAAATCCAAAAATCAAATCCTAAAAGCTAAAAACTAAAATCTATAATCTAAAACCACTTAAAATCTCCTAAACGTACATTCATTGCCAGCATTTGAAGTTTGAATGGATAGGGCGTAAAATTGTATTTCTTGCATATTCGATTATAACTTGCCATTTAAAGTTTTAACTTCTGAGCCATTAGATTCTGAACTTATTTGTAATTGATGCTAGATCTCTATTAGTATAGTGTCGTTGGACACAATTCTTTTTCTTTCTGTCTAAATTTTTAAAATGGTATACTCTTTTTCATTAATCTACATATTTGTAAAATTATCTTTAATCTGGATTATCCAATAAATAACAAAACTAGATACATTTTTTAAATACATTATTATCATTAAAGAATAATCCAAAGTATTGATAGAAATGGTGGTAAATCAGTAAATTTGTTTGATGTAAAAAAAAAAATCAGTAAATTAGTAAAGAGAAGTAGTGGCACCTAATTGGCTCACAAGAGTAAGCGATCGACGAAGCAAAACGGAATCTGAAAACTATTAAAAGAAGAGATAATCGAGGTATATATGGTATGATCGATCGGACGGCTGAGATCTGATGCCATCAGATGGACACGTGTCAGAAGTGTACTCCAGGTATCATTCTCTCTGCCTCATGACATCAGCCGATGGTACCCTCGATACGGCGCCGTCAAGGCTCATACAAATCCCTTTATTTATGTTTTTTTGCCAACAAATAGATTTCCCATGGATTTGATACTCCAATAAAATTAAGGTATGTACATCCATATTGTTCAATATAATTTTTAATTGTTTCTAGATTTGTCGAAAATGAAAGAGTTATACTTATATCTGAGATTCATGATGCTTCTGGTCTCACTCTCTTTCTCTCGCTCCCTCTTCTAAATATCTATACCACTCATGTTTTACTCTCATCATAACTTGTTTTTGGTTTATTATCTCACCAGATCTCACTCACGCTCATGCTCACGTTCATGGACTTCCCTCCCGCAAGGTTAGCTTCAACTTGTATTAATTAAGGCCTCTCAACGTACATATGTTATGTTCCTATAGATGTCCAGTCCAAGTCCAACAACTGTTTCATTGCTTTAGTCATAAGATAAAATAAATACACTCGAAAACTGCAATATTAGGATATATATCATGGTGTGGAAATGTCAGTATAAAAAAATATAAAATGGTGTTTAATTGGCAGATGATGATGATGAAGATGGAGAGGGAATGGGTTGGAGCTAATGGAGATGAAGAGAAGGCGAAGAAGAAAGGTTTAGGACTACATGAGGAGCTAAGGACTGTTCCTTCAGGACCTGACCCGTTGCACCATCATGTGAACCCACCAAGACAGCCAAGAAACCAATCCAATCTCCCTTGACCTAATCTTGTTCCTTTTACTTATTTCATGTTGTAAATTACTTTCTGTTTTATTGGTTTTATCATTTTGGGAGTTTTGTTTTTGTAACCAGTTTCGTTTGCTAAGCTCTTGTAGTTTCATGAAAGTGAATGTAAGATATGCACTATTTTTGTTGCTCACGTCAATGAAATCATCTTTATCTCTCATGATTTTCTAAGGAAACCCTACTTTTAACCTATCAAATGAAAAATAAAGACACAAGTATATATCCTCCAAAGCAATGTACCGTTGGGAAAATTTATTAGTTCGTTTACAATTGTCAATGCAAATAATTAATGGATGTGATAGTCATAATTAAACATACAATAATAATAATGATGATGATGATTTGATGATGTGGTGGGAAGGATAAATTAAACCGGCTTTGGGGGCAGTGACAGGCAGTGTCAGTGTCAAAGATAACCATTTGTAGTCAAAACGACACACATATACTTTTTTTTTTTTTGATAATAACACACATATACTTGGAAAAGATATTTTAATAATATGAATTTTTTTTGTGATGGCGTAATAACAAACCTAGAGCTAATTATTATCCTTAATGACACCAAATCTATATGATACGATATTTGTTTTAAAAAGAGTAAAGACTGACACTTAAGATGTGACACTGGCGATTTCGCTCACGTCACCACTTTTCCCACCTCAAACAACGCTTACGGGCTTATCCATTAAATTTAAATATAATTTGAAATGTTTTTTTTATTCTTGCCAAATTTAAATACATCTTACTAAGTCGGTGTTAAAGAAAATTGTACAATTGTTATGAAAACCATTTAGGGTGTGACTCGTTTAAGAAATAGAATAAATAAAAAGAAAAAATAGAAGAAAAAAATAGTCACATCAGGAGGAAAATGTATTTTACTTGCTGTGAAGATAGAAGAATTCATCAGATTTAGTTACTTTTTGATCTTTTCAGAAGAAATAATTTTCTTCCACTTTATTTTTGACTGGTATACTTTAAGAAGAATATGATTTCTTCCATTTTCTTTTCTTCTATTAAAATTAACCGGTCACAACCTTAATGTTCTTATAATTTCGTTCTTTCCTCCAATGTCATCCCAAGACTTTTTGACATACGTAATATATGATCTAACTTGCTTTCGAATCGTATTTCATATATCTTCACATATATATTTTGTAATTTATTTAAGACAACTAATTTAGATAGTAGAAAACCAGCTTTTTAAAAGAGAAGAAAGTGTGGATATATATTAAAAGAAAACCAGCTATTTTGAAGAAAAGAAGAACAAGATATATACAAAATTATTTAATTATTATTATTTAGTATAAACATTTAAATTAAAAACTATTAAACATATATACCAAAGTAATCCGAATATTTAATTAAATTTAAATTACCATTGTAGGTAGAATCATATTGATGTTGGAGATAAATTCAATTCATATTAAGGATGTAAATGGTGCCATAGAAAAATAATTTAGCTAGATTCATAGATTCCGTCAAACCATTTAGACAAAAACTGAATTTAGCTAGATTTAACAATTTTTTCAAACTCTAATTGACATGTAGGTATGTTCATTTCAGATTTGAAAAAGAATAATAATAAGTATAAATATAGATTAAAGATATTTAAGATATCAAATATTATGTCTATTATTAAAATTTGGGTTGGCCTATGCATTCGGATTTTCTGATCAGTTTCAGTCTGAGTGTTTAGGGTTTTTGGGTTTTCGGGTTTTCGGGTTGGGAGGTTAAGGATTCGTTTAGGAACCGAATGAATTTATGATGGGATCAGTTTGGTTCATACTCGGGTTAAGACTATTTCTCAAATTTATTTGAAACCCAATATAAAACAAAAAAAAATTTCAGTTTAGATTTTGGACTCGAATTACCCTAAACCCTAAACCCTAAGCTACTAGATAGTTTAAAATTGTGTTACCATGTTATTCTTAAAACTCAAAATTTCATTAAAAAAAAAGCTTTTTATTAATTACTTACATGTTATTAATAGTTCAAAAACAACCTAGAAGAATAATAACTCACTTTTACTGATCAAAATATTATTTGTATTACTCTTAATTTGAGAATAATTTAAATATTTGTTTTCACTTATACATTAGTTAATTAAAGCATTAAATGATTTTATTTATATATTTAAATAAGCTTTCAGTAATTTTGTTATTTATTTGGTTATAATTTTAAGTTATTATGCTGGATTTCGCTGCTACCATTTAAATTTTTAATTATTCCGCAAAATTTTGTTACTAAAAATCATAAATAAATTTTGGCAATTTTTATATTTCCATGTTTAGTTAAATTTAGTCGTTACTAGTATTTTTGATCATAAGTGTCAACAAATTATTTTGTGACATGTCGGTGTCAAATCAACAATTTTCTTAATAAGACGAATATGAAAGCATCCAACGCTTGATAGTATTTTAAGGTGTCGAATGTTAAAAGCAGATCAAACGGTGCAGATCATGTAGATCATAGGGAAAAAAATGCAGATTATGTAGGACAAGTGTAAATCTAGCTGATCAAAAAGTCCATACTATGTATTTGAATAGTGAACGCAGCTCAAGCTGTGAAAATCAAATATTTAAACCGATAAATATATGAAAACACAAAAATAATTCAAAAATTTATTTTATAAAATAAGAAACATAATTTAACTATATGAACATTACAATTTTTTTTATTATAAATTATCTTCTAAAATATTTTTTGTTAGTCACTACCACTATTTTCTTAACACGATTATTATATCTAGAAAATTCACAAAAAATCTTCTATTCTTTTTTTCTTCTTTCAAACTCCAAATGTCCTCTCAGTAATAGAACATAGTGATCAATGCATGACAACGATTAAATAGTTCATGTTTGTTTCTAGGAAGAGGACCATTGGAGAACTGTGATATATGATACCTAAGAATCCCATTTCGTGAAGATCAATAAGGAGCAAAAAAAACTTTATTTATTTGGATAGGTAGAATCAACTACATAATGTTTTTCTGTCAAAAACAAAGAAAATTCAGAATTACTATTTTCCGCCATCGTGATAACTACTGTGTCGTGACATGAGTCGGACGCTCCATTCCAAACATATGTGAACAACATATTCAAATGACATATTGTCATTATATTAAATGATGTTCTATCATATCAATTCTAATACAATCCTTTGAGTTCAATACTCACTTTAACGCATACATGAACTCCATCCATGGCTCTAACGAATCTATTAAAAAATGGCCAATATCTTTGATCTATTTGTAGTTTCTCAGGAATTCGACGTAATTCTTGTCTCGTTGGAGTCTTATATAATCACAAGCAAGTAAGTCAATCGCTCTAAGGACTTCAAAAAACTTCCTATTTATTGTCTCTTTTGCGTTCGTCCAAATCGCAGTCCAACATCTCTTCGAATTTCATTGTGCCCACATATTCGTAAAAATATGACCACACTCTCTTCTATGCTTACGTTCAATGTAGGTTGTAAACCATAACTCATTTGCAGCTTCTCACATAATGATCTAAAACTATCAAGTGACATTCTTAGTAACTGAAGACAAGCAACATTATCTTCTTGTACTTGATGCCATATATTCATCCATCCTAAACCACCATCTGTTTTAACTCGTCTTCTTTCAAAATATTAAATATTGATTATAGTATTTCAATGATAGTTGAATTATTAACTATTCCAATTGCTCATTTTTTAAATTCCACAACAAATTTTGGGCTAAGTATTTTCTTGTTAGAGATGACAAATCCTTCAAAGATAAGATACAATTATTATTACAAGCTCTATGTGGATATACATGCTATGATGAACATATGGGGAAGCTCTTAACACCATTCACCATGTTGGGCTAATTCAAACAACATTGGATTACTGCGATCAATATTTTCAAAGAGACCAATCCAAACAAATGGCGGTTTGGGGTGGCACAACATATATATTTGGCCAATGTCACTTAGTGGTTTCATAACATTGCGATAAACGACAAACAAGTTGTGGTTTACAATCAACATTGAATATAAGCATTAAAGAGAGTATGGTAATGTTTCTACAGTTATGTAGTCACAATGAAATTCAAAAAGATGTTGGATTGTGTGTTAGACGAAATCAAGAGACAATGAAGAGAAAAGTTTTTGAGGTGCTTACAACGACTGAGTTACTTGCTTGTGATTATATTAAGACTCCAACTAGACAAAAACTATGCCAAATTTCCAAACGATTGCAAATATATCAAAGATATTGGCCATATTTTAATGGATTTGTAGGAGTAATGGATGGAGTTCATGTTTGTGTTAAGGTGAAGCCCGAATTACAACGAATATATTAGCATCGACATGGTAGAACATCATTCAACATCATGACAATATGTGATTTGAATATGTTGTTCACATGTGTTTGAAATGGAGCACCAGGATCTTGTCACAATACAATATTTCTCACTATGGCACAAGACAACGATTATGAATTGTCTTTGCCTCCAACAGAAAAATATTACGTAGTCGATTCTATCTATCCAAATGGACAAGTTTTTTTTTGCTCCATATAGATCTTCGCAAAAGTAGGTTGTTCTGTATCATGTGTCACAACAAACCGAAAAAATAGATTACTTTGTGAAAGAATTTTTGTGTCTATAAAAAGTGACTCCTACATGGGGATAGGGAAAATGGACAATTCGAAAATGGTCATCTTCTTAGGAATAAACATGAATTGTTTAATAAATACCATGCTTCTTTACTTTGTGTTATTCAGAGGAAATTTGGAGTTTGAAAGAAAAAATGGAAGATTTTTTTGTGAATTTTCGAGATATAATACTCGTGTATAAAAGAGAGTGGTGGATTACATAATTTAATCAGAATTTCAAATTTTCAGATGACAATTTTGTAGAAGTAATGGGAGAGACAGAAATTAGGAACATAAATTATGAGGCTGATTTAGGGGACATTGAAGCTGCAAGATAGTTGATGGCGATCTTATGGCAAACATTAGGGAAAATATAGCATATATGTTATGGAAAATATCATAATTACTCGACATTAATCTTTTCTTTGATAAACCTGATATATCATAGTTTTTTACGGATTTTAGCCATGATTTATATATATTTTTTAGAGTCTTTTTTTTTTCTAGAGTCTTTTCTAGTGATTTTCAGATTAATGTACG